AAAACTAGCCGAAATATGTCGTAGAAAATTTTTATGTATTATTTATATTGTCGATTATTAGTCGATTATTTTACAACCTTTAGATATGTATTCTCTTCATTCATTATTACAGCATTACACATTCAGAATTACAGCATTTTATATTTCCAAAGTCTAGTTTTCATCAATTTCTACCATGATATTATTCGAAATAATTTACACTCGTTATCTCCGATTATCCAATTTTATCGGGTAAAAAATTATTTTATCGCAAATAGTTTAAATATATAATTCTGATACTGACTAACTACTAATCGAAAGTAGGTTATAATAAAATCATTTAGAAATTGATACACGTTTATCACAATAAAATTTTTAGTCAAAAGATAATGGTGCACACAAGTACCGAATCAGTCAGTTAATATCAAATATCAGCAGCGAAGAAGTTAAAATTTGTTTAATAATAATAATGTATTTCAGACTCTTATTAATCTAGGTGTTTTACATACTACTTTTACTATTTTATTTATACTAACAATCTAATAGTTATTGTTAATATATGTTATTGTTACTATAGCTGTATCCATAAAGAGAAAAAATGAAAGATATTACAAGTTAGATTGACATTTTACATCGCCCAATTGACAATTTATATTATATAACTAGATAAAATTGTAATGCTCGCAAAAGAACATAGTCACATTAAGGATAATTCAATCACAAAAAAAAAAAACATTAAAATTTGAAGATGCAAATTCCAACTTATAACAGAATATCCCTACCTATAATTTCACTAACACCTGAAGACATTGTAAAAACTTTCTGGAAACAAAATAAACAATGAAAATTGTATAATAAATAATGTATTAAAAGTGTATAATAATTTTTTTTGTCTCACGGAAATAAAGAAAAACGTCATGATATACATACCAAAACATGTCTTGAAAATTTAAAGTTATGTAAGACTTTTATAACTTGATTCATTTTATTATCATTATTAACCGGATTAATAGTAGAAAATTTAATAGAGATACTTGGTTTTATAATATTTTAAACTGTAATTGCAATAAAAAAAATTAACAACGTTCATTAAATGTCCATTATTTTGTGTTGGCTGTTTTTTTTTTTTTTTATGCGAAAAGTTCATAGATTGGGTAAGTATAATACCGTATTCTGCTTAAGGTTACAGATTTTGAAAATTGGGCTCCGGCTACCTCACTCACCCCGGCGAAAGTTTTCATATTCCATTTACGCTGGTGTGAGGTCGTGGTAATCATCTTCTCAAAATCGTTGTAAAAATAATCTAGAAACTGACCCAACAAAATCATTCTAATAACGAGGAAAAACTGATGTAATGAAAACAATACAGCCCAAATTAAAAAGTTTTATTGACTGAATTAATGCAATTAATATGATTGCGAACTATGGTATCGAATTTCCGACTATATAGGGGCGGCAAAAATTGGAGAACCTATTGGCGGCAAATTTGTAAATCCACCACTGTGATGACCCATCGACATTCTACATCTATAATACCTGGTCAGATGCGTTGCAAACTATTCAAAATTGGATTACCTCACTTGTCAGACGAATCGCGAAAGCACAACAATGTATTCTTCCACTTCACACCGTTACACCTTCCGTGAGGACTTGGTATTTCCCTGGATGAGCCTGCCCATTCGTGAAATAGCAGAAGCTGATACTGGTTTCTTTTATTTTATATTACTCCATTCATTACTTGCCCTCTATATAATATTATCTCACAGGACGAATGTTATAATGAACCCCAAAAACGCATGTTGCTCGTTAACGTGCATGAAATCTTATCCTTTAAACGAGCAATTCTTGTATATATATATATATATATATATATATAGTACCTGGTGGACCGAGCTTTGCTCGGTATTTTTGGTAAATTATGTATTTTGGAAATAAAAAAATAAAAAAAAAGAAAATGATCTGGTGTAGAAAAAAAAGTAAAAAAAATAAGTGTGTAAATGATCGTGATACGAACCACGGCCGTCTGTTTTGGGGCCGCCCCATTACCGACCGAGCTATTATAACATTTTATTTTGCGGCGAAATTTACTGTATGAAAAATATAATTCGAATATGACGGTAAATTTCTTTAAATTTTAGCTTCGGTAATCGGGCGGCCTCAGAACAGGCGGCCGTGGTTGGCGTGACGATCATTTACGCATTTCTTTACTTTTTTTTTCGATTCCAGATCATTGCTTTCTTTATTTTTAATTTTTTCTCGATTTGTTATTTTTTCCCTTTTTTTTTAAAGTTCTTTCTTTTGTGAAAAACATCAGTTCATATTTTCTTATTATTACGTCGGTAAGATCGAAAAATATGCATATTTCATTACTCAGTAATTTGTATCTAAATGTAATTTCCAAAATGCACGATTTACCAAAAAAAACAAACCTCCGGGTACTAATAGTAATACTGCTGACATGAGTAACTAAGTCCATATATCTCTCTGATACATTTCTTTTGCGCTATAAATGCTCTTTTTGTTCGTATGATGAACGTATCATCATGGCACCATCGTTATCAAAATATCTAAAAACTGGCGTTGCTCTTGCCGCCGTAATAGAGTAAATAATGGGAGAAGAAAAAGGAAGTGCTGGATGAAAAAAGATTTATATCTAAAAAATTATTAATAATTGTCACTTGAAAGCATCTCTGAGGGAGAATTTTAAAGAAGTAAATATTTTCTAAAATTAATAAAAAAATAAATTAAATCAATAAATACTTTGACCTTTCTTTAAATATATGAAAATGTTATGAATACGTAGAAATATTAATAATTTTAATAAGAATATTGATTGACATAATTTAAATATTAGAAAAAAAAACACAAGCCTAATGTAATGCCAGTTAGGAGACTCCAAAGAGTAAGTAACTCGTTCATGGATTACAATATCCCAGTAAATGCGCAAAGCCTGCCTATTAAGAGGTTTAAGAAATTTAATGAAGAAAAGCTTTATTTAAGGGTTATTAAAATACAGCGTGTCGTTACCACCGCGACAATAAATGAACACACATATAGAGGATAACTTTTTAAAATTGTATTAAACATTTACATTCTTCAAACATCAATATTTACCGAGTTATTAAATTTTCCAAAACAAACAATTTTAGAACATCCTTATGTATAAAACTGTAACGTAAAGTTCATTTGTAAAGGTCACAAAGCATATGAATGGGTTGAATGAATTTAAAAGAGACAAAACATACTGTTAGAAGGAGAGGCTTGTAATGCGACGCTGTGGCGCGTTTCAATTTGTTTCTTTTTTACTTAATTACTTTGATTTGAAAAACATTTTATTTTAATTATAGATTTTGTTTAACGTTAATATTTTTTTATTATTATTGGCAAATAGCGTTAGACGTGTGTTCATTTATTGTCGCGATGGTAACGACACGCTGTATAACTGAATACATTAATGATAATAACCCTTGGGAATGAATTCATCGCTACCAAGTATCAAAAATATGTTTAATATTTTGTGTGTAAAAAAGAGGATATCTACGGAGTTTTTTTTTATTCTTTATTTTTGAGGGACCTTTGCGTAATATGTGCATGACAATCCCATCGTACCCTCATGTTATTTACAACTTTGACTTATTACTAATACTTATTTTAAAGTTTTGGTCATAAATTCATACAATAAAGTAACAATATGCTAAAAAACAATGTAGATTAAAGACATTAAGATTTACGTTCGTGTGGGAATCAGCCGTTTAGCGTAGTGGCGTCTGGCCGCGAATGCCGAAGACGTGGGTTCGATTCTCACAGCGGCGATAATATTTTCGTACTTTTTGTACAAATTTTAATGTTCAATCTAAAGTGCAGATATTAGCACCATAAAAAAATTATTTCTCTAGTGATAAGTGCAACAAATTACCTACCCGATGCAAACGCGAACATCAATAAGCGTCGTCCGCGAAACGTCCTCATCGACCCGGTAGAGTAAGGAGACTTAGGTACGTTGGACAAACCGTCCTCCAGAAGCTATTTAATTCCGTCATACTTCAAGGTACCACACCAGATGCATAGCATAGAAGAGATAAGACCTTATTGAAATATAGACCCATCTCGCTTCTGAGCCATGTATATAAGCTTTTTTCTAGAGTTATTACGAATAGCCTCGAACGCATTTTTGATAACTTCCAGCCTTCCGGAAAAGCTTTAGCACCATAGACCACCTATAATTTTTACTTGACCAAAAATTTAATTTTTATTGTACTTATAATACTTAAATAAATTTTAATAATAAATAATAGTAACTGACAGTACCAAATATCTGTTAAGTTCTTTCACATTTAATTACTTTATCTTTTTTTTTCGATAATCGCCCTACTGAATGATCGATACTTTTGATATATATTTTCCACTTGCGCATCCCTAATACTACAAGAAAAATTTCAATGATTCAATGGTGTTATCTATTGCCAGTATTCATGTTATATTAATTACCATACTCTAACATTTATAAAAAAGATAACTATGTATATTAATTTATTATTCGAATTTGCCATATATTTCATTCTATCTGAGCACTGCTGTATAATCAACAAGGAAATATATAGCCAGTTTGCAATTTACTCGATGGAACGATACTGTTTAATCAAGGTGGCAACGACAAGAACAAGGCGATAAGCGATGTATGTGGTCTGTGGATGATTAAAATAATGAGAGGAAGGAGGGAAACCACACAATATTATAATTATTCTAGTCTCAAAAATAGTCATCGTTCTTGCTTGGACACATATTGAATGAATAAAATCAGATGACACTTATTATTCTTAGCCTGTTATCAATGGAAATAAAACATTCATTAATGGAACATGTATTAAACGCATTAATTCAACGTGTACACAATAATCTTGTCATTTAATAAAGACAGGTGCGATATCTATGTTAACTCATCCCGCCTTGAACAGGTCGTACTAAAAGATTTTTGAACTCCAAAATTATATGAAGTAATTTGATATGTATATTCATTACAGATTTCGGCGAAATGGCGCTAATACTCCAATATATAAATGATATGCACGTATTTATGGATAAACATGGGGGTAAGTTAAATAAAAAACATTAGTACTAAAAATTTTATTATTAAAACTCGAATGATTCAACAAATTTCTACAAACATGTTTTTACCAGAACAAATGTTAGAACCAAAAAACTGTAAACGTCACAGGAACTATCCCAACATTTATTTGTTACGCTTTATTAAAATTATTAACTATTATTCACCACGACATCCTCTTACACGAAAGCAAAATATAATATTGTACTAGTATAATAGATTTTTCCAACACTAACTCAATACTTATTTATTAATTATTTAATTAATGTTTTTTTATAAGCTAACCTAAAAGTACTAAATTTACCATTAGTTACTAAATATTTTCTTTTCCAGATCCCCGGACTAATCCATGGTTCCTGATGAGTTCTCCATTTCCTACATTATTAATCTGTCTTAGTTACGTTTTTCTAGTCAAGGTACACAAAGATTTTTGCTACATTTATGTAATAATTCTACATAAATTCCTTTAATGTTATTACTTACTTTAAACTTGTAGTTGTTTTCTAGATGAAATATATTTAAAACAATCACTTTTAGATAATAATGTAATAGTTAAATAATGTTTTACTGTTCCTTTGTTTGATTTACTTTAAGAGTTTTTATTGTATTGACAATATACATTGTAAATATAAAAAAAGAAACTGTAAAAAATGTATATTTTGTTAAATGTAATAATTATTGATGCATCTCTAACTGTATTTATATAACTGATCCTCAAAAAGTAAAAATTATTTTAAAACCATTTTATTTTCAGGTTTTAGGGCCCCGGTTTATGGAAAATAGAAAACCATATGAATTAAAAAATGTTTTAATTGCCTACAACTTTTTGCAAGTAATATTCAGTGCATGGTTATTTTATGAGGTAAGCTAGCTTAGTAATAATTAATGAACTAAAGTGTGTATTAATGTTGGCTATTTCCAAAATATATATAATATTATTTGTTTTATTTTTTGCTTATTTTCCTTGTAACGGATGTTGCAGAACATACATACAATAATCATTATCACTTTTTACAATAGTAAAAAATGATAAAATTTTTATAGAAAACATTTTGTTTTTCTTAAATTCAGTACAACATAATTTTTTGAGACCCATTCTACAAATTTTTATAGTTATATATGTCATGAAATATGGTATATAAATTAATAAACCACACACTAATAGTCACACATTTCTTATTCAAGTGTATATTACAATATTATATTTATGATATTGTAATTATAGAATTAAGTTTGTAGGCACATGATATCTTCAGTGATTTCAAGGAATCAATACCAATCTAAGTATATTTTGTTAAAAGGGTATTACTCGCTACAATGAGTACTTGTTCAGTTAGCAAATCGACACAATTGTTGTATTATATCAATGTTCTCAGTCAATCATACTCAGAAAAATCATTTTATATTTGGTAATAATTTTTGGTCTTCATGGGCTGATTATCTCTCACTAAATTAATTACTTTTTAAATTTATCAATGTAGAATAAATTATAAAAATATTTTCTTGTGTCGTCCAAAAAATAAAATTCCACCGAAATGATATTTAATAAGGCACTACTTCTTTAGTAAAATATATTAATACATGAAAATATCAGAGCTGCCATAAAGTTAAATGTTTTGCTAATTTAGTGATAATCTAAAATTAATATACTGTTTTAAAATAATACACCCAGAGCTTGATGGGGGGCTGGCTGAAGCATTACAGCTTAAGATGCCAACCAGTTGACTACTCAGACAATCCTGTAGCCACTAGAGTAAGTGATGGAAATATGTACCATGTTTCCGCGCAGTGGTACAAATGCAAAACCGACTAACCTGATTTCATTGTAAATAGACATTAATCATATTGTTTTCAGGACTACTGTATAAACAGTAAGATAAAGGGTAAAAACGGTTATTGCATATATGATGATAGTATATAATATACAGCTATGCAAGTATTCTATTGTTACCGAGATATAATACTAACTAACACGAATTAGGGTTGACACATGCGTGTTGATGAGACGTAAACAATTCGTAAGGTGTTTTGCGTCAACCCTAAAATCGTTGTAAATAGAACATTGAATATGAATATTTAGTAGTAGTTTATTAGTTGCCGGTAATGGTGATTAACCCGTCGTCACGGCTACAGTGAGCATGCGGCGTAATGCGTTTTACGCAAATTATACAAGTAACACAGGGCCAGGTGTCGGCATATTGTTTCAGATCGGGGCCGCTGGCTGGTTCACAGGCAGGTATAACTTTCACTGTCAACCGGTCGACCACTCCAAACATCCGCAAACAATGAGGGTGAATTATCAGTTCTTCCGTTATTATACCGTCGAACACCCAGTCCCAAGTTTCACACTTGTTTCGCTTCAGCCAACTCGTTCCTTACCTTTATAGGGTTGCCACCTTCAACTTTGCATTAATAGAATATTATTTATGTACGATAATTTTCATTAACAACTATTTTTTGCGCTAAAGGCTTGGACGTATGGGTGGCAAACCTAGTAACAAACTCCTTCCTATTCTACTCCTATACCTCTATGCGCACGTTTTAAATAGAAAATAAATTTGCTTTATTTTGTCAATGAAAAATTTAATTATTCCCAAATACATGATTATCTGCTGATCTAGCCCCTCGATCTAAGTACAAATGCTTTTATCATATTAGTTATCTCATGATTCATTATAATTAAATAATAACTGTCATTATAATTAAGTAATAAACAATTTACGTTGATGGATTAAAAGTAATACTATGTATTTGTTTTAATTTACGTAAGATTACTAGCGCGATAAAAACATAAATTCGAACTTACAATATGCTTTTAATCCATCACGATGGATCTTAATTACAGCATTAACATTAACCTTCATGAAATTGTAAAAACGTATCATTTCAGCTTTTTTCATGATTCAACTTGAGTACCTTTTTTAAGAATTTTTTGCACATCACATGCCATTTCACGTCCGCAATATTTAATTGCACATTAAAATAATCATTATATGTTAATAGGGAAGTATGTAATTCATTTATAAACCTTGACACCACTTGGAGAACAGTATTTTTTTTAATTTAAATACATTTTTTTAACATGGAGCATGTAGTTCTCTTTTAAAAAGAAATAGCTCCATGTTTAGTTAATAACCGTTGATATTGAGACACAATGGAAGACAACGTGCGTAATACGCATTAAATTAAAAATAGTTTCCTACAAATACAATGATGTTGCTCCTTTGTAATTAAAATCAAATAGTACTTGATAACTTTTGCAAAAATAATTAACAAAAACATAAAATTGATTATGTCATCAACTTTCAGATGGTACATGCCTGTTGGTGGTATTATTTCTCAAAGTTCACGGAATTCTTTGATACGGTAAGTTCAAATCTTAAGTTTAAATATATTTTCATTTTACTTAAAAATTGGCTTCGCCGCGCAGGGTTTCGTGGGTTCTACTTCCACACGGGACTACTATTTGTATGACCCAAAGATAATTGTTCCGAATCTGTGTTATTGTTCTCAAGAGGGTGTTACGATTACGATTCCACCAAAATAGTGTGCAGCAGATTTGTTTACAAACATTTTGTGCTAAACTTCAGCATTACACTAAGCCGGTATCGTATTTAGACCCTGACTAGGCAAGGCCTAACTCTTGTAAGCGCACAGGGATTCATTTGTTAATATGGATGGACAGGAAAACGTAGCACTTTGTGCGGCAGCCTGTGTTTTATAATGTGGTCTGCTTAAAAATAAATTAAGAAGGAACCATGATTTTGGGTGAGGCACTTCCTATAACGATGCAATGAAGTAACAAATAGATTTGTGGAAGAAATAAATATTCATTGAGTGAGAGACTAAACAAAAATTGGTTTAGAATTTGCATGTATACAGCGTGTCTTTACACTAAAACTGTAAAACTTTACATATAAAACTGTAACGTAAAGGGTTGAATGAATTTAAAAGAGACAAAACATACTGTTAGAAGGAGAGGCTTGCAATGCGACGCTGTGGCAACGAATGAAAGTCTCGGAATGTATGAATCAGTGAGTTGTAGTTGTATAGGATGTTACAAATTTAGTTTCTTTTTTACTTAATTAGTTTGTTTGAAAAATATTTTTTTTTAATCATGGATTTTTTTAACGTTAATATTTTTTTATGATTATTGGCAAGTAGCGTTAGACGTGTGTTCATTTATTGTCGCGATGGTAACGACACGCTGTATAGTTTGTGCAAAACGTAATTAATTCAACACTTAGTACATACTGATAATTACAGAAGTTGTTCAATACTGCCAAATTTAATCGTTCATCCCATAAATGGTGTACTTCCAGTTTTAACAAAAGCGTTTAAGGCTCATTAGTGTTTAACCTAAATTTCGAATTTAAATATAAGAGATAATGCTTTTCTAGCGAAACAGTGATCCCTCTTCGCTATCTCTACTGCTTGCCAAATATTCGTAATTAATAAGTGTACCCATGTATAACCGTATAAACGTAAATGATTATATAATTGATATAGCTGATATTTTTTTTTAATTTGAACTATCAAATAAACCATTAAATAATATTAAATTGAATAAACTTAATCAGTTTTTTAACGACAGTACCAACACCAACAAAGTCAAATGACCATTTTCTGTATTGTGCGATTATTTGATTATAATTAATGGCTCGTTTTTTTTCCTTTCAGATTTTCTTTGTCTTAAGAAAGAAATTTGATCATGTGTCTACTCTCCATGTCATCCACCACGGTGTAATGCCAATGTCCGTGTGGTTCGGTGTCAAATTCACACCAGGAGGCCACTCCACCTTCTTCGGGTTGCTTAATACATTTGTGCACATTATCATGTACACATATTACATGCTAGCAGCAATGGGGCCTCAAATGAGGAGATTTTTATGGTGGAAGAGATACCTCACAACGCTACAAATGGTGAACATTAGCATAGTTTCAAACAAATTATGAACAATTATTATTTATTTGAAGCCACCAATCGAAAAATTATCATTTCTAGAGAAAACCAACATGTACTAACTATTCCTTTTTCTTACCTCTGCCCACAACTTTTATAACGATTTTTCTTTTACTTTTTTCTTTTTTTTTTTTCACTTATTCAATATTTAATTATATAGTAAAAATCAGTGACATTTAAATGCATCAATCTATGCATAGTCTTAATTTTTTCATAGTATTGTGTAATTATGGTCCAAATGTAATGTGGCTGTAATTATGGTATTAAAATTTTGACATTACTTTGCCAACTGTATGAGCCAATTTAAACTCAAATATCATTAGGTACGCTTCCTGAATGTATAATTTATTTACAATTCGTTGAAATTTGATATTAAATAATTATCTACTCATAAATTTTCCGGTATTAAATATTTTAAGGGTAATTAATTTTTTTTATTACATTTACTTACTAGCTCATAATAACGGTCATTTTACACGGACATAAAATTATAAATATAGTATTTGTAAAAATCAACTATTTATATATTATTTTAACTCTTCACATAGGTGTTACAACAGTCTGAGATTCATTCCGTTCATATACGGATGTTTTTTGGTTTAATTTAAATGCTTAAATTCATTTATCCTCAGTACTTGGTTGACGTTTATTTCTATGAATTGCTAAGGTCAATGTTATTAATAGGATTCCACTTGTTCAGTATTCATCAGAATTACCACTATTTATGCTATAGGCCCTAGCGTAAATAGTAGCCATCTACAACCGTGAGTCGCGTAGCTAGGCTAGGTTTAGATTTTTTATAATATTTCATTCGTATCGTATCTAAGAATTAAAACTCATCAAAGTCCTTTTAAAATTTTCAGGTGCAATTCATTGGCATCATGGTCCACGCATTCCAGTTACTGTTCATCGATTGTGATTATCCACGTGCCTTCGTCTGGTGGATCGGCATGCACGCCGTTATGTTCTTCTTCCTATTCAAAGACTTCTACAACCAGTCATACTCGAAACCCAAGGTAAATAAATATGAAACTACGCTGACGGTATAAATATGTAAATGACGTATGACAAAACACGTATTATTGACCTATATGTACGAATTAATATAGGTACCTTACTTTCTAAGCATCAGTGGCAGTTTGGATGTAGCAATAAACATTAGGTATATGGCAGAACTTGCATTAGATATCGAATGGGTATGAAAAGAAACTTTAACAAATACCAATAAATCAAAGTGTGCGAGAATTCAAAGATCAAAGTTTAAATTACGCCGAAGTTTGGTTACAAATGAAATAATGATCAAAATACTGTATTGCGAGAAATAAATCTCTGTACAGTGGCGTTTCTTTGATATTTAACTAATATAACTAAACTGTCGGTCACAATAGAAATAAGATATTCACATCATCGTTCGCAATGCAGTATAATGAAACAATTTGCCGGCTTCCGTCTTTTTGTTCTATTACAAGTGTCGTCAAGGACGTTAAATGTGTCAATGATTACCATCAACTACATTACAATTTATTGTCTGATGGACTGGTAACTTAGCACTAGCCACTCGTATAAAAATAAATTAAATCCCAAGAGTTAAAAGCTTGAGACACTTCCGCGGCGTAAATTCTACACGTAAGAGAGAGACATCACACATCGAGAGCTGAAACACTGCATATTTCTGTGAACCTAGTGTTTAAATACGAAAATATTAAAAAACAGTAGACAAAGTCAAATTTTCATCAACATTTAAAAAAAATCTTGTTTTTATTGCTCTCATGTGGGTTGTAGTTGGTTGTCAATTTAAACGTATTACCGCTTTACCACATAAAAATACAAAAGTAAACTTCGTATTTAAAAAAATTTATGCACTCCTAATGCGACCCCTTTGTTACCTACCTACAAACGAACTTTTACTAATTACCGAGTGCACAATAGAGTTCTATGTGTAATCATTAAACTTATTTTCAAGTAGAACTAATGGTGTTTTAGGCACGGATATTTTTTTTTCTTGTATTTACTCAGAGAATAGTAGGAGTTCTGCCATCATCTTGGGATCCTATCATTATTAAAAGTAAATCTAGGCCCAAACGAACTCTTATTGCAACACATGATACAATTACATTAAAAAAATAAGAACTAAAAAACTGGCAGCAGCCCGGTCTAACAATCGCATTAAGACAACCAACGCCTCAGTATGTGCCGTTACAATGAACGCTGCACAGGGTCAGAGACGTCGGAAATTTAAATTAAAAATAATTTCATTTAGAACAGAAATTTGTCCGTGAATTTCTGAGGCACTGAAATATGGGCGCATATTCTATATTAGTTATTTCCTTAAATATCTATGATTTGTGTGGGGTTGAGCAATAAGTCCAAACGGCCACTGCGACCTAGAAGATTTATTGTAGTTTCATTAACCAACTACTATCTTTCCTTCGAATTATCGTTGTAAAACGATATTCGAAACTGTTTGCTGCGTTGCTTCAAATGCTAAAAAAAATACAATGTAGATAAAGGTCGTTGATAATTTCGTCGGTGTGACAACCAGCCATTTAGCTCAGTCAGAGCGCCAGGACGCTAACCCAGGTGGGTTCGATTCGCACAGCGGGGAGAATCTTCCTCGGTCCTTTTATCTTAAAAAATTTAACGCTAACTAACTGAACTCGAACCGACAGGCACGGGCGAGGTCGCCGCAGCCGGTGACGACGGAGATCAAGGAGGCGTACGCGAACGGGGCGCCGAGGAACGGCTACGCGAACGGGCACACGGGCGTCAACGGCACGGGCGCGTTCGCCCGCGCGCGCACCGTGCTGCCCGCCGGCAACTGACCGCGCCGCGAGCGCCCTCTGTGACTCGCGGGGAGCCACCCATCGGTGACGGACGCAGCGGCGACCCACCCGCCACGTGACAGTGCAGTGCCACCCCCGTGTGTAGTGATAACTTCTGTATATAGCGACAATGACTAGAGGCTTACCGATGTGGACCAAGTTCATGTATCGACGGCGGGCCGGAGGGCGCGCCTGGCGAAGCATAGATGGTTTCGTGTCTCAAATAGATCACAGCTAGTTATGCAATGCTTCAGTTATTACGGGACCTGTAATTGGTGTACTATATGTATAATTGAAAAACATGTTGTTGAAATTTTCTATATTTGTTGATTGACACTGTTTTTGAACTTTAAGTTCCATCTTTACTTAATATTAAAAAAATGAGAAAATTTTATATGTTATACGAAGGTGTTGTTATTAAAATTTATGCATTACAGTCTGTAAATATATGAAGTTATTATTACAGGATTTCAACATAGCCTGGAGCTGTCACAAAATAATATCATTTATATTGTCTATAAAACACAAAGACAGCAGATGTAACTTAAGCAAGCATGTAAGTCCTACGACTCTTTGCCGCAACTTTGATAACTGTAAAGTTGTTAACATTAAATGTGATTTTACCTAGTGTATATATTAGGAGGTATCAATGGTGTACATTTTATTTTATCAATACAAATTTAGCTAGGTCTTTGCATGTGTTTTGTACTATTATTATATTTACATATGTTGCTTTTAGATATTCAACTCTGAAAGGACAATACATGTGTTTGAAAAGGTGCTTTTAAATGTTCCAGTTAAAATTAAAAAAAGTTAAAAGTTAAAGCATCGAGCCACATCATACAATAATTGTTCAAATCTTTCTATTCGCCCATAATGTTTGACATATATCAACTTCATGTAAAAGCATTATAACACAATTAAAATTTATTAAAACTGGGGTTTTCTAATTCAAAAAACTTTACTTATACTGAAACAAAAGAGCAATTTAAGAATAAAAATTATTGAACCATAAAATTTAGAATTTATGTAAAATTAATGCAATCACATTTAACTTTTATTTTTAATGATTATATCATTGTTGGTATTACAAAGAAATTATGAAATGACATTTTTATTAGTTTAAGTCCTTTCCTGTATCCATAGAGCAAGTCGGACTAATGTAAAGTACTAGAGAACACCAGTTGACATTTTAAGTCTACGTTGTTATTTTAGCTTTATACTATCATTCCTAGCATTTTATTCATATAAAAATTACAAAAATATGTATTTTACTGCTTTACAAACAATACTTCATTTCCTTTACTATAGTCAATTATGTTTTGTATTATAGATATGTTATAGAGTTACAAAATCACTGGTCAAAAGTATTTGCAAACACAGTGAAGTGTGCTGTCACTGTGTTGCTTGTTCACTTGCTTCATTCGAGGACAATTTGGGGCATATGTTGAATTAAAGCAATAAGAAAAATAAAGGATGACAAGTGTTTGTTCCCTTTAGCTTAAGTGTGAACAAATCGCACAATCTACCTTCTCTTTCTTTTTGACTTTAACTTGACAAATTTAAATTTTTCTAAAATCATTGAAATAAATCGATGATATTTTGTATTATGTACATGAAATGAGATCCCTTGAATCTTGTTAACTGGAGAGTCATACTTGGAACATCTTTTAAAGAAACACAACAGGATTTTTATAATTGTAAAATTTTGACATCGTCTTATAAAGTGAACTAAAGATAAGACATTAGGACTTATTGTGGCTTCACTTTGGGCTTGTTAACAACATATCTGTTTTATAAAATATCATTGTCTATAGGCAACAATAACAATACAGTATTGTGAATGTATTATTGGTCCACTGCATGTGGATACAGTTAAACAGTATTTTAATTTCACATCAAATGTCAATAGGAAATACTGTTTTAATGCAATTTAGATTAATTGTCACTATGACGGTTGTGTTGGTTATTTATTTTGTTTAATTTATATTTTATTTATACTAAACTGAAACTGACTGGATGTTGTTCATTGTATGGCGATTTTGATATTAATGCAAACATCCAATCGCGCAGTTATAACTTCGCCTTCAAAGTCACACGCGGCGTTTCATACTTACAAAAGAATTCTTTCAATAGAAAAATATACAGTTTTTTAATTAACCAGCATTTCTAATTATTTTTAACCTTTGTGTTTCATGCTATTTTATTTTTCTTTCATTTAGTAGAGTGCTATTATATTAAATAAGTAGGGGAATGTTATGACTTAATGTATCAGTAAAGTAAATCAAATAATAATTTTCTAATATAAATGTGTGATACAAAAATTGCATGAAATTTTCTTCAGTTAGTCTTCCGGTTATGTACTTAGCAAAATTTCCAGGTGCTTTTTATACTGCAATTAACTGCTTCATAAGCAGTTTAAATATACTAAATAATTACAGTTCACCATTTTGTAAATACATTTTACTTTGTTAGATTATATTGTCTGTGTACCAATACAATTTTTATACAAAATTGGAAATAAATTGTTAGTATAATTTGTTATTTTATATCTACATAAACACTACTTCATTATACACTATCAATCTTGAGTAGCAATAGCATCATTTAAAATTTCATAGTTATCTAAAAAGTTAATTGTTTTTAACCTTTGTTTTTTTAAATGCTAATATAAAAATAAATTAAATAAATTTAAACAAGCTGACAAAAACGCCAACAATTAAAAATTGTATAGTTATCATAAATTAATATGTCTTCATGAAAGTATCTTATCCTAATTTATCTTAAACCATTCATAATTAAAATCTTAAACCTAAAAATTGATTTTCAAATTTTAGATTTGTAGTACTTGTTAGCACAAGCAAACTACATGAAATGTAAAAAAAAAAGCAAAGAGCTATTTATTTTTACAATTTATAGTTTATTTTACAAATAATTTTTATAATTTTCCAAGTAAGAACTAAATTTATATATGTAATGTTGAAATGTATGGTTTTATTGTTTACAGGATACAAGCTCCAATTATAAAAAGTGTGATGGTTGACTACAGATATTTTTGAAATTAGCAGCACATTGTTGCAATTAAATTAAAACATTTTTCCAAATATTTAAAATAATTTATTTAGTTTCTTTGCAAAAATATTTCAATATATAGGTAAACACAATCATCATAAAGCGAAATTATAAAAGCTTAAATAAACAAACAGTGAGGTTTCATGTAGGAATTTTAAGTACAATTAATACCAAATTTATATATAGCTATAAAAGACCTAGTTAATTGGATTTAGCACATCGGAATCCTAGATTTCCTGCAGAACTGTCTTCTGTGTTGTGTGATCGTGCTGAACATCTATAACGGTAACAGTAGGAACGGTGACATAAATATGATCCACCCTTTTTAACTTTCTCCTTAGGCTAAAAATTAAATATGATGTATATTCCCCAAGCATCAAAATTATTAAGTATTGAAAAATGTACATTCTGTACATCTAATTATTAAAATGGTCATAATGAAACAAACATAGAGAATAAACACAATAAGCAATGTAATCTAAAATATATTGACCATGACACTACTTTATCAAAAGGTAGCAATGCAGCAACCCTATGGTTATAAGCAAATGTACATGCATGGAGGTTATCACTTATAATTAGGTCAGCTCAGTTAGCATTTTCTTACATTAAAAAAGAGAATTGTTTCTGTTTAAATGTATTAATTGACAAGTTTAGAACTTTCAAAAAAAAAGTAATAAAACAAATTTATATAAAACAGAGTACATTGAATTGCACTCAAAATATATGCTATATACATACATTATCATCAGACCATGAATCTTCTGTCCACTCCCAAACATTACCAGCCATGTTATGTAGGCTATAATCATTTTGAGCAAATAAATATACGGGATTAGTGCCAACAAATCCATCTTTCAGTGAATTGTGGTGAGGAAATGTGCCTTGCCATATATTTGCCCTTGAACAATACATAAATTAAAATAATGCACTTTCATACACAATTAAATTAAATTACTATAAGTACTATATTTGAGGATTATGTTAGATCTAACATACTGTACTTGTTTCATGAGAATGATAAATTTGTTATACCTTATACATATTCAATAATATACTTAGTACAGGGTTTAGATGATTTTAGTGCTAAGGTTAAATTAAGGGGTACCTATTGCTGTTTACAATTATTTTTACAAGTAAATGTCCCCTTTCTGGCACATAATTATAGCTCTTTTTATATTACATTCTTTTTTTTATAACTTGTATGTTCAGTTAGCTGAATGTTTGATATAAATGCATAACATATTTTGAATTTGTTTGTCTACTTTAATCATCAAAAGCTTATATACTTACTTATACTTTTTATCTGGGAATAACTTATCACCCCATGGGTATTTTGTACCCCTATGTCCTCCACGACATGCAACTTCCCATTCTGCCTCTGTAGGTAAACGAGCACCCCTCCATGAACAGTATGTACGGGCATCATTCCATGAAACATGGGTTACCGGATGGTCCATTAATTCTGAAACATTTTGAAACTTTACCAAAAAAAAAACATTGCATTTTATGATGTTCAGAGAATACACAAGTTGGGTTATCTTAGAAATATCATTTCATAATTTATTATTATATGTGCCACTGTCACATCTTTTTAATTAGTGTAAAAAGTACAAATAAAATTTTTACTAACACACTGCAAATAGTGATGATATTCTCCAATTTAATATGAAAACTGTTGAATGAGTTATGAAAAAATACTACAGAGGGTTCATTCATTCACTCATAGATGCTATTAGCATATTAAGTTTTCTATAGATTTTTTAAGAAATATCACTTTGATAATTTATATTTGACCAATACAATTACTTTTCACCAATACCTACTTCAAATTAGTCAAACAATAAAGTAGCAATTAGTCCTAAAAATTTAAAAAGAAATAAATATGTTAAAAAAAAAAGTAAAGTAACAGCCTATACATGTCCCACTGCTGGGCAAAGGCCTCCTCTATACAGAGGGTATCAGGGCATAGTCCACCACGCGGCCCCACTGCGGATTGGCGGACTTCACATATATTCGAAATATATTTTTTTTTGTTATTCGAAAATATGCAGGTTTCCTCACGATGTTTTCCTTCACCGCGGAGCACGTGATAATTCAGCACTTAAAGTTAAAAACTTCATTGGTGCCGGCACCGGGGATCGAACTCAGGTTGCTCGAGTATATTGAATTAAGGCGAGCGCCCGGACACTAAGCTATCACGGCTCTAAATATGTTATCAATGTGTTAAATTTATTATTTCTTTAATATTTGATTTGATAAGCATTGATTATTTTATTTTATTATTTTGTTAATTTCTTATCTATATATTCTCTTTTTACCTACCTGAAATATTAGAATCTGGACCATATGGCTGCTTCCAACTTGCACCAAATATTTTATACCACCATGGAGCTTGTAAAACACGAAAGTGTTTCATTTTATCTTTAAATGTATTGTTTAGGAACACAGTAAATACAAAACTATCTCCAAAAGTTTCAGCCTCAGTCTTGTAATTTGTTAACATTGTAAAGTAAGTAAAATCCCTGTTAGAAACTTCATATTTGTCTATATAAAATGATTTTAATTTAATGGCTCTTTCTGGGCCTTCTTTGTCACTTTCAATAATAACGTCTTGTGTACCAATGTAATATTCTTCGCCGGGTATTAAAACCATGTCTTTAGTGACATTAACTTTTCCTATGTTTGCATAATTCTTTACCGGACATTCATCGTCTTTGTTTTGTACGTCAATAAAAAATAACTTTCTCTCAGGATTTTTGCCTTGTTTTCTACTAAGACTGCAGCCACAAACATTTTCTTTATTTTCACTTAACTTTAACTGTAAAATACATATTATTAAAAGACTAACTAACATTTTATTCCCTAATCTATACAATATTTTTTTAAAGTACAAACCGCAAAGTATTAAACGTATAATTGCAAAAATTGTCTATAATATTAGTAACTCATTTACCGTATAAACAAACATCTAAGTCTAAGAAAAAAATATTATTGATGACGTATGGGGTATTGGGGTTGCCAACCGTACTAAAATGTACACAAGTGAAACTACCTGTCGCGTGATCATGAAAGCAGGAAAGGATTCGAAACGTTGGGAATTAACAATAAATTAAAACACAAAAAAAAACGTAATAGTTTCATTTCACCATATATAATATTCGCGTTTAAACAAGAAAGTCGCTAGCAAATTTAATCTTTTATCAGCGGTTGAGCGGAGATAACTTTTCACACAATAATAAACAAGAAAATCTCCTCTGCTCAGCACAAAAATTAGTACTATTGAATGCTGTCAATACACATTCTTGAAGCTATGTCAACGTTTGGGTTCAAGGTTTCAAGCTCATTTTTTCTTAGAACCTGTAGAACCGCTTTATTTTTTAAAGGCAGTATTCCGTCTCGAGCTATTGATGTTAAATAAGAATGATACTATAGTATATAAAGCACTCTTCTAAATCACTAGAATATATCGCTTTATTTTAGGCTTCCTCGGTGTTAACATTGATTTAATCCCTTAGAAAGGAAAATTTGTTGTAAAAGCTGCTGTGCGCTTCTTGTATATATTTTACGTCTCTTTTGAAGTTCTGTCACAAGTCATTGAATGTTTCACAAAAGAATAATGAAGAAGTAATATATCGGCAAATTAATCTGCTGTGAGCTTTCTCTTCTCGGTGCTTCTCGTATTTTTTAAATAATCCAAGGCTTGCTATATACAGGGAGGTTTTTCTAAGTGTATCCATTTTTTTATTAAATGTAGACAAATTATGTTATATAATAAAAGATTATAAATATTTTAAATCACTCGTAAGTAATTAATTACATTCATTTGAGCTTATCTCAAAAAGTGCGTGATTTATATGCAACTCATTTATTTTACGAGCGATCATTCATAACTAGCACGCACACAAGTTCGTTGGTGTCAACAGTAAAATTTGGGTATTTATGAATGACTACGCGTTGTCAACAAGTTCTGTTTTTTAAGGAATAGAATGGTAATATTTTAAAAAAAGTTTGTTTTTATTTGCACAAACGATTACCTATACTAGCGAGTCTGAACCCCCTGTGTAAATTTGGGCACCTTTAAAAAACCTCCCTGTAATCTTCGGCAATTGTGTTAATTATACTATCATAATATTAAATAACTGTACAAATTAATCGACGGCATTAGAGGCATTAAAGGTATTTGAAGAGTCGATTAAGACCATGACTATATTTTTGTATCTTCCATGCCTGCTCTAATATCGCCAGTTTTTTATGAGTGTGACTTTGGAAGTGGATGGACTCTTGGAACTATCTTCAGGCTTATATCTCGATTGGAAGAAATTTACAGGGTTATCAGAAAAAAAACAGGAATAAACTTAAGGACAGCACTCTAGTACATTGGAAATAATGAGCGATAAATAATGAGCGCGAAGTGAAGAATTGGTGAAGGATACTTAGGGAAGTGGATGAACAGAGACCACGACTCTGAATATGCCAGCTGATTTTGTCACGCATTAGTTTTTATGGTATTTTGTATAATTTCAAAAGAATGGAAGAAAATTTGAATGAGTTGGTTGATTGTTAATTGCAAATTCATAGTGAAAATTTCCTTTTTTAAAAATTGTTGTAAATAAAATAGCGATTATAGTCAACTTTTATTAAATATTAAATTAATAAATATATTATATATATTGAAAATAGACACTTAAATATTAAATTTTTATCCAAAAATTATTCTGTAAAAAAAAGAAAATAATAAGAAATAAAAGGTAAATTTCAATCCTTTTTGTATTATTATCGAATAAAAAGGAGGTGGACGAACGCTGAAAGAAAAAATGTACAACTATAAATTTGCAATTATCAATTATCTTAATTTATAATACTTATGTTATGAATGAATGAAAATTAATATAGAATTCATAGTACTACTAGTAATTATCTTAAGGATTTTTGTGTTAATTGTAGTTAAAATATTCATTGTAGTCTGTTGATAGATGGAATTCATTCTATAAATAAACTTCAACGAAGGCCTTTCGCGGCAGAAGAACAAGTGAAAAAATTAAAAACCTTGTATTTAGTCGTTTTCGACAGGCATAAATTAAAAAATAAACTTCATCAAATATGCGAACAGAGGCTAGATAGAAAGAAGCAACTGCTATAATAAAATATACATACCTTTGACAGTTTGACTACACATTATGTCACAAAATTAAATAAATTTCTCGAACTAAGTAATTAAGTATTTTTCATGATTTCTTACAATAATAACGGTACAATGTCTTCTTGCTTCATTTTTCCATAGTATTTTGCGATACCATTCACATGTCCCATACCAACAACAGCCAATACACGGGGATTTTCAACTGTCAATATAACCTTGACTTAGTATTCTGAAGGTTAACTTAAATAAATTATGTGTCAGATACATAATATATATATTTACCAGAACGAACACATTCCTGTAAAGAATACGCAAGGCAACGATCACGCTCATCAACAAACACGTGAAATATCTTTCTAAATGCTGGAACTTCTCTTATGATTTCATCGAATTGCGCCTGCACAAACTCCTTGTCTTTGTATTTTTCTAACTGATATTTACTGAAACAATTTGATACTTTTTATGTGAGAAGATGACAAGAGATCTGGCGGTTCACCTGATGTTAAGTGATAACCACCGCCCATGGACAGTTGTAGTAGGTACGGTAGCATATTTTTAGATGCGTAAAAAGGTAGCACTTTTAATAAAGTGGAATAAAATAAATTTAATAGCTTTATAAAATATTTAGGAAGCCTTACTCCAATGGCTTTGAATTATTCTTCGATAGATGGTAAAGGACTTGACCGACTTCAATCATACTTAAGGATTGAAAAGCTCGTGATATAGTTATCTGTATGGGACGATCGCCAAGAAACAATTTACAGCCGGGAATTTTTTTCATCTAAAAAATAAATTCATGAAAAATAAATTGAAACCAATTATTACACAGTCATCAATTTGACTACTATCTCTTGCCTCTTGATAAGCTCTTCGGAATTCACCACCAGGAGCAACGCCCAGTTCTTTTGCGAGATCTGCGTATGTCTTTAACAGCATTGCATGCAATACTCCAGAAACGAATCCTTTGTGTTCTTTGACAGTTTCGCTAGTAAGTAAAATATTATTTACTTATTGTTCAAAAATACTCATATGAAAAAAAATAACGGAAACGGAATTTAATAAATGTGATATTGGAATTCCTACGATTGGTTTTAGTAGGTAGGTTATATTTAATGGAAGTACAGATGATATGATATAGTCATGATAACTCCGTTTCCGGGCACTCGACCTTAATTCAATATACACGAGCCACCTGAGTTCGATGACGGCCATCGTCCACCAACGGCCGCATGGTAGATTATGCCTATGACTATACTGATACCCTCTGTACAGAGGAGGCCTTTGCCCAGCAGTGGGATATGTACAGGCTGTTACTTTACTTTTCACGTATTACATTTTCTCTATTAACAAAAACTTGAAAAACAAACATAGTCTGATGTGCAACATTGTTGCATCATTAAATGAAATTGTCCATTAAAATTTTAATGCTGATTTATCACTTGAAAAATTATCGGCACGGCTAGGAGTCGAACCTGCGTCTTCTGTGTTATGCGCCCAGACGCCAACTGAGTTAGATGCGCTTGATTTATATGACGTGAAAATTTACTTACAACCAACATCTTACACTTATGAAATTACTTAATACTCGCTGTACAAAAGAAACCTTTGCCCAGCAGGATATATTTAGGCTGTCAATCCTGACTTACATTCTACCGAAATACACCTTGCATTTTATAAAATAGATCACGCTTACGAGAATTTCTTTGAATCAAACTTTTTAGCATCCTCTAAAAACTTCTTATCATCCAATTCCAATAACGACACTCTTTGTCGACATAATTCCACAAGAATTGCATTTGGTTTAAGAGTGTGTACGATCTAAAAGAAAGTAACAATTACTAAACGATAAATTAATACAGTAACACCTGTCACGGGGATTTCACAAGTCGGTAATTCACTGGTACATAAAAGGAAAACGACCTATTCTATGACATTGCAAATCATCCGCCAAATGCCGCCATCGATACCACCATTCGAGCAAGAGGCTCACCCGATGGTAAGTGATCACCGCCGCCCATGGGCACATGTACCATCAAAGGGCTTACATGTGCATTTTGGCACGCACAACCAAATTATGGAAAAGTTTAGAATTCTTCAAGAGTCTACTTCTACTCTAAAGGCTGGAAATGTATTTATGATTCCTTTGATGTTTCGAGTGTCCATTGGTGATCTGTAATCGGGACCCACGTCTACAATAAGGACTGGAGGTGATATACATTTCATTCAATGAATAAGTTCAATTAACTCAGCTCCTGTTTTTTAAGCCAATATTCTTCTAAAATTAATTAATAACTTGCCTCGAACTTCGGTCTCTTACTTGTCTTTTTTAAATACTAGCTATCCCGCTCGCCCGCGGCTCCGCCCGTATGTTAACTAGTTTCATCCGATTCAATTGTAGCTATTATATAGCATTTTATCGCACTTATCTTCAATGTGGTCCTTTAAGTTACTATAACTTTTTTTATTTACGAACCGACTTAAATAAAAGTAACACAAGTGTTAAGTGAAACTTACTAAGATTTATTAGTGAAAGTTGCACCCAAATCGGTTATGTTACTCGTTTGTGAGATTAGCGCGCACAAATGCATGCATAGACAGACAATTTAACAATCATTGTTTTGGTTTCTATTGCATTGATAAAGGCCACTAATAATAGTTTTGCTCAAATATCTTCTATGTAGGTATTGACAACGACCAGTTACATATTTATTATAAGTATGTATAGGTTAAGGTCAGCCAAGTGTACGGGAGGGTTCGATGATATGCGCACGGTGTAGTATAATGAGTAAACACAGGAAAAAAAGTATACCAGTATGTTCGTAATCTGAATACACGGATGTCGGTGACCACCAATATCTCGCAGTACAGGGAGAGGGGCTCACAGAAATTAAAAAAATACGAAGTGAAATATACTTTATTGTAGACCAAGACAAATAATACAGTATTTATAATTAAAAGGTCACATGGATACAACAGGCGGCTTTATCGCTTAAACAGCGATCTCTTCCAGGTAACCTTAGGGCAGAGGAGGAAGGAAAAAGAAGAAAACAGCAGGTAAATAATAATAATAAAAGGATAGAGATATAAAATATTTAATGGACGACAGATAGCATATTAAGATACATAATTTAATTTTATTTCAGTTTTAAACATGTGAAGAGATTTACATTGTTAAATATCTATGGGGAGAGAATTCCAAAGACGTTTAGCCGTAACTGTGAAAGAATTAGCGCAGAACGAAGAGAAGTGACTGGGAGTACTTAGCAAATTATTTTGAGAACAGAGAGAAAAACAGTGTAAATCATTGAGGTATGTCTATCGATCTTTTAAATAATGAGGAGTTGTGGGAATGAACTGAATGCAGTAAGGAAGATGAAGAATATGAGTTTTCCTGCGAAAGCGAATCCAGAGTCTATGGCCACTTGAGCTTATGGCGGAATTCGAAGGTGTGGTCATACTTTCGCAACCCAAATGTAAAACTTATGCAGTAATTTTGAACACGCTCAAGTTTATTTAGTTGCTCCCCATTTAGATCCAGATAACAACTGTGATCAAGGATCGGTAGAAAAGACTAACGCAAATGGGGCGGACATTACGCAATCTTCAGAGTGAGCCAACTGTGGCAAAAATGTTTCTATTTAGCTAGTTTGAGGCATTCAAGATAACGTTTGGTTGAATACGATGCACAATTTTAACGTTGTCACTGTATGGAATAACTGTTCATTGGAATATAATTGGCGGGAGCTGTGACAAATTTACGCGACAAACTTCATACTCCCAACAATTATGGAGAAATGCAGATGAGAAAAAATTATCTTTATATAATAGAAAATTTTTATTAAAGTCGAGCAATATAATCAGTTTTATTAAATAAACTAGCACTTTCTAATACATAAAAGATCGTACGTAAAATCTTCCCGTCCATCGGAATGTAATTATAATATGGCAAATGTATTCATGTATGCTATTTATGTAATTATTCGTAATAATTTCCAGAATACAAATTTATTGATTTAACCTTTAGGAATTGTATTAAGATTTTGATTGTTTATCATTCCATAAAAGATTGCACTTTGGTTGATTACTAATTATTTACCAAATTAACTAAAAATATGTTTATATTAACGTAATTAGCAATAATAATAACGAGCAATAATTTTATTTCTCATAATCAACTTACCTCGGAAACTTCTTCCACGGATTTTTTGCTAAAATGTACCGTACCCAATACTACTACTTTTGCATGAGCATCATTTTGGACCACAATAGCCGAAGGCGGTACATTGAAACTAACAGCATTACAGAAACCTCTTGGCACCACTGGCAAAGCTATAATATGATAAACAACATGTTTATGGCAAGCATCTATTCGACCACAAAGAAACTTAACAAGAACATTAATGATTGATGAAAATTACAATTTTTTAACCGTTGACTTATTAAGCGATGTCCAAATAAAACCTGTCCTAAGATTTTACATGTGTAATATCTCATGTTTTTAAATTTTTATGCTAGAAAAATATCATTTTTTACTGATAATTTTGATTATTGAGTGTCCAATAACGTCTGTCTCTAATACATTTTGAGTTATGACCGTTTATGACTGCTTTTTATTGTTTCTTTTAATAAAAATCCACACAGAAGAAACAAAAAGTTTTCAGTTTTGTTAAGAATATAAATAACATTTATAATTAGCGATTATAATAGTCACTTTTTTCCTAGTGGTAAAAAATGCATAAATATTGTATATTGATATAACTAATCTAGCTACTACTACTAGCATTTCTTTCTTCAGGAATAAATGTTTTATTCGTATCCAACGGTTCGCACAAATACCAATATTCAAAAAAGTCAAACACTACAAGACTGAAAACGAGATTCGCACTTCCTTAACTATTCTTTGACTATACGCGGTTCACACTGAAAGCTCTTAGAAAATCATAAAACGACTTAATTAGTACAAGATCCGAAATAATCTAAATCGACCTTCACCGAGCTGATAATAGAATAAAATTTATTTTATAATAAATTTAGTATATATTAGAAAATATATTAAAACTGGGTTGCCTAAAAAAATCCTGGACAGAATATTTTGAATAATTTAAAAAAAAATGTTTTTTCATCAAGATAATAAGAAAATATTATCCTGACTTGCAATATAAAACAAAAATATAAAATTTTTTCTATTATCCAATCAGTGAAAGTAACTGATACCGACATACCTGTTTACACCTGACAACTCAGTAGTTCGTCCAGGTAAATAATAGACAACCCAACGGCTGCACATTATATATGTTTAATATTGCAATCGCTGACCCGTTGTTGTGGTGTAGGAGGATCCTGATTCGAAGATTTCGAAGCTGCTATCCCCCATCCGACCGGGTTCCCGCCTTGACATGGCGGAGGGGCTTAGTAGCCGTGGCTTGATCACCCACGGCGAAGCTAAGAGGAACCCACACTGGGCCGGCCTGTGGTGTAAGGCCGGCCCGAGAGGGCCGCTCCGAGTGGGCTCATTGAGCCCACTCTGGATGCGAGCTGGAGGGTGCAGGGGACAGGTCGAGGGTGGTAGAGTTGGAGCCACTCTCCCTGTCCTCTGCTACCGAGGAGAAGTCGCGGGGGAAGACGAGTCTCGGTATTGCGTTAGCCGTGCTCCCTATCCTCCGCGACTCAGCGGAACTGCACCGCTGATGCAGTGGTGGTGGGGCCGCGGGGGGAGAAGAGTGTCGGTATTGCGATGCGCCGTTCTCCCTACCCTCCGCAGCCGAAACGTGGTGAGCGGCGGAGCCACAGACCAGGTCCGCCGTTTGGGGCTGGATATCTGTTACATCCGAGGGTTACAGATGCGTTGACAACTTTTTGAAAATTGGTTTCCGGCTACCTCACTCACCTGTCTTTACTCTTACTCCTACCTTTAAATTTGTACCTGATGAAGTATGACTTCTGTGTGAAATAAAACTAACAGAATTCGCTAATTATTAAGTATATTTATTTGAAATGAAAAGTAATAACACACCCATACAGGCAAATTGAGATTATTTTTATCATTTAAAATGTATTCAAAAGGGTTGATTAGAACTCAAACATGTAATTCTAACGATAATTAACTTAATATATAACATCTACGTTTCTGATGGTCTTTTTTTCTTATTTGAATAGATACATATTTTGGGACTGCTTAGTTATAGAATTCGATGACATGCATGAAATTTTGTTATTTTATTATAAAAATAATCGTAGACATTTAACAGTCTATCTACTTGCTCTAAAAGATACGATGACAAAAACTCGTACAAGTAATATTGTCATACAAAGCAGCTTTATCGATGCGATCGAAAATCAAAACAATTTTTTTTAATATCACAGTCCTTATCATTTATAACCTACTTTTTTCAAAACCTACTGCAATCAATAGACTCAAATAACACCGTAACAACACTAGACACGTATTAATCAGAATGTATCAATTACTTTTGTTATTAAATTCAATCTATGTTAATATTAATTACACATGAAAAAATTTGCAACGGAATAAATCAATCGAATAATGAAACAATTCCAAAAAATAATATATATTTTCGTTATGAAACAAAAACAAAGATTAGAATTTAAAACTTGAAATGGTTAAGTAACAGATAACTACTAATTTTCTTACTGATACTAACCTTGTTACTACACATACTCCTTTTCTACAGAACACTATTTAAAGAATACACTGCCAAATAAAAATAAAATATATGTGTCAATTTCGCTCATATTTTTTAATTATTTTTACCGACATAGTTTATACTTTACACGATTTAATAATTTTTTGAACGACACTATTAACATAACATAACACAACACTCCAGTAACATTTTTATTTTAAAGAGACAATAGTCTTTTAAAAACTAGCTACGATCATTATTAATATCGATATTTAAATCTATAGTAGAATGCAGAGAACTGACATTTAAATAATGTGTATTTTTTTAACAAAAATAGTATTCACACTAAGTCCATCCTTCCATTATTTCGCCGTGTGACGGTTTGTCGACGGTTCGCAATGCCTTCAGTGAAAAGAAGGCCTAGCTATATGAACCTTTATCTTTTATTAGTAAAACACCTATAGAAAAATACCTTTTCCTTACAGGTAATCTAAACTAAGGTTTATTTAATGCCATAATATACACATACATAAAATCACGTATCGTGTATATCACACCTTAACTTTATATACCTAAAACTTGACACTCCCATTTCCCGTTGAAATCATCGTTGGTTAGAATGTTGCCCTTACGAAAAAAAGAAATAATACCAAATGCAACAACTATTTTTGGTTAATATTAATTTATAGGAATTGTAATTATTTTAATTATAATATAGAACTACTTTACATAGAAACAGTTAGTGCTTTCTTAAAATGAGATTTTCTATATATTCTCTGTCATAATTGTATATAACATTTTAACACTTTATATATAAATTAAAATGTATATAAATATATAATTTACAACAGAATTCAAAATATTATAAGCTATAGTCCTCTATTTTACTTTTTGAAATATATAATATATATGACATAAAATGGGATGACTATTCCTTGGTATAACCATTAACATTATTTAAATTTTAGAGAAGTATTGAAGTTGTATTGAAATTTTGTTGAGAAATATTTAATTTTTTTAAAGAAGCTACATCTTTATATTCTGGTATATTATTTATACATATATAAATGAAGTTAACATTAATAATTCCATCTTTGAAGTATCCATTCCATTAAATACTTTATAAAAGCCTCAAATAAAATTAAAACTTCATTATATAATATGGGAAAGGCGCCAAAAAGAAATGCAGTAAACCTGAAAATGAAAAGAAATATCTGTTTAGATAAAATACAAATTATAATAATTATGTCAATTTCAATATCTGTTATCTATTTATATGTTACTAGCTGTGTCCGCTACTTCTTCCGCGTGGAATTATACTATATATATTAATAAAAATAAATAGAATTTCTAAGGTAAAAGTAGCATATGTTACTTCTTATTACATCTGCTACCGGCCAGTGAAAGTTCCGTCAAAATCAGTCCAGCCGTTTCAGAGATTAGCCGGAACAAAGCCAGACGGACAGACAAAAATTGTTAAAGAAAATATTTTGGTATGTGTACCGTGAATACATCCATATGCATTTAGTAAGAAAGCGGTTATTGGTATATTACAAATAGACACTCCAATTTTATTTAAATGTATACAATGTGTTGTTGCAACCACACAATAGATGAACACACATATAGAGGATAACTTTTTAAAATTGTATTAAACATTTACATTCTTTAAACATCAATATTCACCAAGTTATTAAATTTTATAAAACAAACTATATAAAACTATACAACATATAAAACTGTAACGTAAAGTTCATTTGTAAAGGTCACAAAGCATATGAATAGGTTGAAATTTAAAAGAGATAAAACAATACTGTTAGAAGGATAGACTTGTAACGCGACGCTGTGGCAACGAATGAAAAAGTCTCCGAATGTATGAATCAGTCAGTTGTAGATGTATAGGTATTACAAATTTTGTTCCTTTTTTATTTAATTGCCGTGATAGCTCAGTGTCCGGGCGCTCGCCTTTAATTCAATATACTCGAGCAACCTGAGTTCGATCCCCGGTGCTGGCACCAATGAAACTTTAAGTGCTGACTTATCACGTGCTCCGCGGTGAAGGAAAACATCGTGAGGAAACCTGCATACTTTCGAAATAATAACAAAAAAATATATATTTCGAAGATATGTGAAGTCCGCCAATCCGCAGTGGTGCCGCGTGGTGGACTATGCCTGGAAACCCTCTGTATAGAGGAGGCCTTTGCCCAGCAGTGGGACATGTATAGGCTGTTACTTTACCTTACTTTATTCGCGTAGTAGCGTTAGACGTGTATTCATTTATTGTCGCGGTTGTAACGACACGCGTAGATGTATAGATTACATCGTCAATGCAAAATTACCTTTCTTATTGTAGAGCCTGCAATTATATACCTAATATGTCAAAATATATACTTTAATACTTTAAAGTTATATTTAAACCCCTCAATGATCCAATGATGATATTTTTACTTTACAGACATCCCCATGATGTCTGTAAAGTAAAAAGTAACAGCCTAAAAATTTCCCACCGCTGAGCAAAGGCCTTCTCTGTACAGAAGATATATTAGCCCCACTACGAATTGGCGGACTTCACATATTATCGAAATATTTTTTTTGTTAAATTTTTGGAAATATGCAGTTTTCGTCCTTTACTGATGAGCAACTGATAAGTCAGCACTTAAAATTAACAACTCCATTGATGCCGGCACCGGTGATCGAACTCAGGTTGCTCGACTATATTGAATTCATACGAGCGCCCGGGCATTGAGCTACCACAGCTCACGGGGATGACTTGAAAAATGTACCAGTTGAAGGAAGGGATCACTTCTTCCAGATATCAGGGCAGCCAACGCCGCGGGAAAAGCTTGTACACGGCGTATGTGATCGCGCCCGCGCACGCCACACGCACCGACACGCGAATTATGCGCGTCGACAGCGACGGAGGCGGGATGCTGTATTCAACATTTCCAACTAATCTAGTATACGTTTTTACAACGAAATCTCCGAATACGTTCAAAATCATTTGCTAAAATAAAAAATATTGTAAAGGAATGTTTGTGTGTTAAAGGCTAGTATAATATTAGTGCTTATTTAAACCATAGCACACCCTGGAAATAAATTGATCGCTCTGGGCTCTTTCAAGTGGACAACAATGTATTAAATTTTAAACATGTTCCTTTGTCATAAAAATAGACAATGGTAAAACAAATGTCCCGTTGTGTTTCTTTTCCGAACCGGTGGTGATTAGTATATGATAAAGTATTTGAATTTGTCATAGGCAAAGATGAAATGAGATTTGATTTACCCACAAACCCCATTTTAATTTGACAGAGCTCGCAGGTAACGTAAAATAACATCATCCTTAATTTCAAATAATGACCATAAAATGTACAACAATGTACAAATTGTTTACAATGGACATTCCCATTTTGTATTCATTACATATTATATTCTCCTTTCACCTTTAGTTTTTACATTTTCATTCCTAGACTCAATGGGATCCTAAATTCACAGTTATCACAAACCCGTAGAATTGATAAATGTCACTTTTAACCCTGAATTTAGTTCTAAGTCAACACATTTCGTAAGACATTTTTATTGTTCTTAAATCTTAAAACCTTTAGGTATTAGGGAAATCTCTGATACTCACACAAGTAACGGTGTGATGTCTTGCGGCGTGACTTTGCCCCAGTGCTCCACTATACCGGCTACGTGGCCAATACCAACCACGCCAACAATACGACATGGCTCATTACCTGTTGATGCAACAAAATTTGCATTTCATTTTACGTAGTAAATAATTTTATCGAAGACATTTGACGCCTAACCACGTGTAGACGCGTAGCAATCTATGCCATAATAACCTTGTACTACAAATGCCTAATTACATTTGATTTGTTTGTTTAGTTCAGATAAAACTCACTTGACAGCTTATTTACGTTAAAAATATTTAACCTGAATTTTATAAAAGGGCTGAACACTCACAAATGAATTTGTGCTTCTTTTAGGATAAAAAGATCAGAAAGCCCCACTTTTCCATCTATACCTCACACTCACCCTCAAACATAGGAATCCATACTAATATTATAAATGCCAAAGTAACTGTCTGTCTGTCTCGCTTTCACGCCAAAACTATTGAACCAATTTAAATGAAATTTGGTACACAGATAGTCTAGAGTCTAGAGCCTGAGAAAGGACATGGCTATTTTAAAATTGGAAAAAGGGTTCTTAAAGGGGATAGATATTTATTTAAGGGCTTCAACGCGAGCGAAGAAGCGGGCGAAAAGCTAGTATAAAATAAATCACTAACTACTTTTCTTTAGGAACAAATTCAAATAGTAGTGAACCAGGCAAATAATTAAGAAAGATTTATTTAACTGTTCAAGAGTTGTTTCATATCAAACTTAGAATAAATAAATCATATTATTGTGCGTAAAGAAAAAAAAACATTTTAATACATGTTAAACTAAAATAACTTTTAATAGCGTAGCATGTCCAAGGCTTTTAATTACGGCTTTACACCAACGAGGCATTGATTGGCTGTATCAATTTTTGACATTTTGCAAGAGAGATAAATTTACATTCGTCAAAGAAATTGTCGTACAGTTTTTTTTTAAATTGCCGCACTGTCGATTTTAAACCTTTTTCTTGTTTTTGCACCAAAGATTGACTGTAGCAGGGCCATGCAATGTTCGTTGTTGCACGAATAGACTGGCTCTGTGCGGGTAAGTAGCACGCCCTCACTTAAGACTGGCATGAAATGAAAGTTTTATACTTCTGTTTTTCGTCTGGTGAGTGAGGTAGCCGGGGCCCACTGCCCATTAACTTTATTTTATAGGTGGCAAAAGTGGTTTAGAACTGAATTGTTAGCTGGCCGATCTAAGAGAGAAACTGATTGCGATGTGGGAAATTCCTTAAAGGTGCGTGTATTATGCTTTGGATCATTATCGTGCTGGAATATCCAAATAACTCATAAGCACGTCTTCATCATAAGGTAACATTGTTTCTTCCGGTATATTTTGATATTGGAATTGATCCATGTCTATTTTTATCAGCTTAACAGAGCCAACGCCAAGAAAAGCACCACCAAAATTTTCACATTTCCCCCACCATGCCTTAATACAACTTTTTTTAATTTAGGGTCGAAAGCTTTATTCGGAGGGCATCGTCCATAACGTTTTCATAGAAAATACCCTGTTTATTTTTGTCTCGTCAGAAAAAAGAACATCCTTACATTGTCTAATTGTCCAGATTCTTGCAAATGCAAACCAGGCTCGCTTATGGCATCGTTTCTATGGAAACATTATTGTCTCAGCTCATTAGACCCTTTAAAAGAATTTCGTTTTGCCAAAAGATCGATATTTCGATCATCTTAGCGAGATGACTTTATCTGTTTAGGTATACTCGGCACGTGGCAAAATGCTTCAATCATCAACGTATATACATGTACCTCTAATGTGGAAAAGTTTTGCAACACTGAGAGAAATACAAAAGATGCATGCCATTCTACATATTAGTTTGATAAAAATCTTCCGTTTAAATAAGCGTTCTTAATATATAATTACTGTATACTAACATTTTAATTCAATCACCAGCAACCTCGACACTTAAAAGATTTCGAAATCGATTTCCCCTTGTAGATTTTTTCATTCCATTGCGACATAAACTGCGGCATACCTATAATTCGTACTGCCATACGCATTGTCACTGTTCAGAGAAACAACAACTTAATTTACTTACGCGGCTGCAAAGCGGCGATTTGCAAAGAATGGCAGAGGTACATGTCGCGCTCGACAACGAACACGCGCTTGAGCGCGGGAAACTCCTCCGCCATCTCTTCGAGCATGTCGTCTAACATTTTTTTCACTTTGCATTTCTCAACTTCTTCAACACTGTGAAAGCCAACATTGTTCGAACATTAATATGGATAATTATTTGCCTTTGACGAAAGATTATTATACGGGGAGATTTTTTGAGAAGTGCCCAAATTTACACAGGAGGTTCAGACTTGGTAGTATAAGCGTTTATTGAAATAAAAAACAAAGTTTTTATTCCTTTATTTTCATTATAGACCAATCTGTATCCTGGCTTTTATTTACAATGTACTAGAGTGATGTGTCCTTAAGGTTATAAGTTTTTTTTTCTGATAACCCTGTAAATTTTTTCCAATCGAGATATAGGTCTGGAGATAGTTCCAACAGTCCATCCACTTCCAGTTACACTCATAAAAAAACTGGCGGTATTAGAGCAGGCATGGAAGATACAAAAACATAGTCATGGTCTTAATCGACTCTTCAAATAACTTTAATGCCTCTCATACCGTCGATTAATTTGTACAGTTATATAATATATATGTTAGTATAATTAACACAATTGCCGAAGATTGAGAATTTTTTTCCAAATACAGGGAGGTTTTTTAAAGGTGCCCAAATTTACACAGGAGGTTCAGACTCGCTAGTATAGGTAATCGTTTATTCAAATAAAAAACAAACTTTTTTTTAAAATATTACCATTCTATTCCCTAAAAAACAGAACGTGCTGACAATGCGGTAGTCATTCATAAATAAATTTTACTGTGCACGAACTTAAGTTGTGTGCGTGTTAGTTATGAATGATCGCGCGTAAAATGAGTTGCATATAAATCACGCACTTTTTGAGATAGGTTCAAATGAATGTAGTTAATTACTTACGAGTGATTTTAAATATTTACAATTTTTTATACAACATTATTTATGTCTACAATTTAATAAAAAAAATGGATACACTTAGAAAAGCCACCATGTTTTTTTTTCTATGTTGTTTTTGTAATGGTAGATTACGCACTTTAGCCCGTAGGCTACATACTTAGGTTCATCGGGCACAGAGCTAGTGGAAAGCCTACGTTTCCACGAGTTTGACAGACTACGTAAACGAGTCACGCATGCAGACATGCGTGTACATTGTTTATTTGATGTGTCTATTTCGCCGCTTTACGTTATCGCTACGTGTTTTTAGTTTTTCTGGCGGGCGCCGCATTTGAGTCCATAATAATTTAGTCTCCTTCCCCGACCGGGTCGATCAGGATTACGCGGTCCAAACTTGCGAAAGGACGCGTTAGGATCCGGTTGATAATTGACTGCACTTAAAACCTGAGTATTGGGATGATTTTCGGCTCCCTCGATGGACCGTTTTGTCGTATCAACCTTATTTATGGATATAGTCCTAGAGGCTATGCAAAACATCATCGTGCCCGTCAAGTGAATACTTTTAGACTGTGACGTAATTAGGAAGGGAAATATTCTTCGTGTAGTCTCATCACTTACAAATTGCGGTACCCATAGTTGTAAATTTAAAATTAATAATACAGCGTAGTGTGAATAAAAATGATTGAAACACAGTAAGCGGTTAGATTTCACGAACTTTCTAATTCTAGACCAGTAGTCATGCACTTATATTCGAATTTTATCAGGGCGGTTGCCGCCTGAGGGATGCACTATTAGTTGTTTATTATATTTTTTAAGTGGGGACGTTATTTATTGCGTTTTTATTTATTGGTTTTATTGCTATTGCGTATTTATTGGAAGTTGGAAGCGGAATGATGCTGGACCGAGGAAATTATACGCATAGAAGAGGACAGAATCCTCCACGAAATAGACCAGTTTAAGACGACTTTTCAATCCATGTTGGTAAGATTCCGTGGCGCAGGTTAAAATGGCCCTTGGGAAATACACACAAAACACAATACAACACATGTCGGTCATCTTTTTTTCTTTATGTGACAAGGCGGCAAGCGAGCTGGCGGTGCACCTAATGTTAAGTGATAATAGCTGCCACCCATGGACATTTGCCTCACCCGTAGGGTTGCAGATGCGTTGCCACATTTTAATAAAATGGGCCCCGGCTACCACACTCCCCATACAAAACACCCGCCGGTCTTCTATAAGTTCGTGGTACTTCACCGGACAGACCTGCCCATTCGCGCAACGACGAACTGTTGCGTGGCACTACGAAAGTTAACTGGTCTACTGGTCTAAACTGGTCATCAATAATGTTCAGCAATATAATACATATTTGTAAGTGCCTGTACGTTCCAATTATTTCACTTAAATTCACTTTACACTGATTTAAAAGACTAAAATTAAAGTTTACCTGATACTTTGGTTTGATGTAAGGAGATGCCATATAAAGCGTATTGTCTGTCCCCAAGACAGGGACGCTATGGCCCTGTGTAGGGTTATGTCAATTGCTCTATCACCAAGTTGCACTATGCAGTTTGGGATCTTTTTGGCCTAAAATTAATTTAAACTGGTTATATTGGTTTTAACCTTCCACAGCCATGATGTTCTTTATGGTCAATTAGATCTTGGACTTACTATCATGAAACATTCAACTGAAAAGTACTGATTTTTTATATTAAACAAAAAACTAGTTTGACCTCATAAATAATAGTATTATAAAATATTTCAGCTTTATGTTTGTGATTAATTATTTTCAATTCTAAAGGCAAAGGCTTGTCAGGCAACATAGCATAAACATCACATAATGAAATGAATAATGAGTTTACACATGGGAAATGATAATAAACAAATTTATATATAAAATAGTGAATAGTTACATAACAGAAATAAAGTTTATGTTATACTCTTACCTCAGCCATTGCCCGGCGAAATTCTCCACCTGGAGCCATACCCAATTCACGAGTAATGTGCGCTGACATGTTTAAAAGTAAAATGTACATTAAACCATTGAATACTCCATTTTGAGCCATAGTTGCCCTGTATTAAAAACAAATACAGTGAATTTATGAATACACTCACATAGTTATTAAAACAAAAATGAAAAAAAATTAACTTACCTGATCTTTTTAAAGTTTATATTTTTAGCCTCCCTTAAAATAATTTCTTCATCTAAAAGAAGAATATTTGTTCTCTGTTCACAAAGTTCCACCATCACTATATGTGGATTCACTTCTTGAATAACCTATGAACATGATATACAAAAAAGTAAAGTGGATGCCCATATACTATAATAAGTCCCACTGAAATTCTGCACCAAAAGCCTGCTCTATGCAGAGGAATTTAAGGCATAGCTGGCCATGTGACCTTGCTGTTTGGCAGATTTCACATGTCTTCAAAAATGTTTTTTTTGTCATTTTTTTAAGCACAATTTTCACATTATATCACTACTTTTGAAATTATGGTGAATCAGCCTTCAAATTTCAATAAACAATTTCATGACACTACAACCAGGATATAAATTCTGCGGCATGCATAATGCGTTTAAAGCACCTGGACACTGAGTAACAGATGTTCTACAGTTCTTAAATGTACTATACATATAAGCTGTAAAAGGAATTCTCAATTAAAATGTATTTTTTATAATGTGAAAAAACATACCCTGGAGACATCTTCTTGAGACTTGATGCTGAAATGTGCTGTTCCGACCAAATATATTTTACCTCCATCTGGAGTATCAAGAATTGTAACAGTACTAGGCATTTCTTCTGCAAATATAATGGAATTAAAAAAAATTGCTGACAGAAAACAGACATCTGTCTAAATAAAAAAGTATGGAATACCAAATGAATTACCATTCCCATCAATAGTGCCTCCCTTTTCTACCTCTTCCATTTGCTTGTCAGGTGATTCTTCTAGATTGTTACTAGTTGAGGTGGGAGTATCATGCTCACCTTAAATAATTGTTTTTAAGTACATGAGATATTTTAAACAATAGATATAAAAAATTGTGCATGAGTTTATTTATTTCATATACTGTTTAATGGTGCAGCAAGCCTTAATGAGGTCATCTGCATTTTCATACAAGCATGATCTATTAATTTAACTTAAATTATTAACTTGGCAATTTCAACATGCATAAGAACATTATTATTAATGCAAAGAAAATTGTTTATTTTATTATATTATTGATAAACAGATACTGATCAATGAGATTTAATTTATTTATCTTATAAATTTAAATGATGCTGGAAACTTTTACTTCATAGTTATTGTTTTGATTGTTTCTCTACCAATTAAAATAATTTAATTAAAAAAATACATATGACTTTAATGAATTATATAACGAAAGTATTTGTCATACTTCCACTTTATGCTGGTCGTCGAGTAGCCTTTGAGTGGAGGTCGTGGTACTTACCCGGACGGGCCTCCCCATTCGTGCAACAGCCGAGGCTGCTGTGTGACCCTACCACCGCAAAAAACCTAGAATCCCTTTCATAGTAAAATGATACAAATATATATAAACAAATGTACAGTAGTTAATATTATATAGTTGAATATATAGAAAGATATTAAAAGATAGCACTAAAGAAATAACCACCAAAACATAGCATACTATTTAGTAAAAATTACCTTCATTGATTGATGTTATGTTACCAGAAATCTGATAAGTAGCATCACCTCCACCATCTTCAGCTTTCAAGAACATTTGACACTCATTGAGAATGTCACATTTAACACCTGGTGGCTTCTGTGCCATTAATAGTTGCTCTTTTTCTAGATTGTTACTTAGACTCGAAATATCATTCTTCATATAAGTATCCATTAATTCTGATGTAACTGATCCTTCACTTGAAGAATATAGAATAAAGATATAATTAATTCAAAAATAACAATGTAATATTTCTGAGATTTTTTTTACGCATTAAAAAATAAATTATGCTACTCTTATATTATTTTATATAAAATAGTTCATAAGACAAGCTTACAATAAAAACTGTTTAACAAAGGTAAACTTAACTAAGAAATCGCTGAAAGAAAATCAAGGTAAGAAAAAAAATGAAATGAAATATGAAAAGTCTATCTTAGGGAAACAGTGATGAGCTGTGAAAGTAAACGTGTAAAAATGTAAATGTTTCTTATTGTGACATATTGTTAAGTGAAAATCATACCAAAACTACAAATAGAACGAGATCAAGCTCAAGCTGTAACTAATGTTATAAACTTATTACAGAATATAAACATATAATTATTTGAAACCAAATTTAGTTATGTGGAATTTAAACTTGCAATCGTAACTCTTAAGATAACGAGTGAAGGAAACTAAGAAACAGCTGCAAGTGCGCTGTCAAAAACAGAAATGACCATAGATAAGACATATATACTGAAATGACTCTAGAAACACAGAACACATAAACTATATAATCAAAGTCTCAAATCTCAATATCAAACACATGCTCTATGTAGACTCTAGATCAGTCATTCTCAAAGCGAGCAGTAACGCGCCTTAGGAGGCACTGAGGCTAGCTGAGGGGGTGGTTTTTAAAAATCGATGGCATGTGAAAAGTATTGTTTTGTTAAAATCAGTTGCGACAGGACTGTCTAGACATTTGACTCATGTAAAAATATTTTTAACTATATTAATTAGCAGTGCACCGGTAATATGAGATTAACGCCAGATTTCTGAAACATGATCATTAAGAAGATCAATTCAAAGAGTTTAACCATCCTTTTGATAACTTAAATAACAATATTTGAAAAGCCATTTGACAGCTGATTACTTAACATCTACGATGATCAGTGTTACAGAAACCGGGCGTAAAAGCTTAAAGTGCCTGTTGTTTTTAAATGAAAATAATAGGCACTTTAAACTTTTACAAATATTTTTAATCGATAAAGAAACAACCGAATTAATAATTATCGGAGACATTTAGATTTTGAGAAAAAACATTGCAATTAGTGTTGTATTCGGCCCACTTCGGGAGGCTGTATAAGAAATTAATAAATGTTGATTCTAATTCATCTTAATTTATAAATAATACTGTTTATAAATATCCAGTATCACTGTAATCTCTAATAATGTAAAAATGTAAGTTCCCTCTTAAAATAATTTACAAAAATGAATTATATATAAACCGTAACCGCGGATTTCGTATTGTCAAATTGACTTAATTTTTTTCCTCAAACTCTGAAAATTTTTACTTCGTATTGATCATCTTGGTTTGTTTATTTAAAAAATTCATTGTTTACACCCTAAAATAAGGCCTAATAAAAGGCAAACTTAATAATAATAAGCATTCCCTTCCAGTCAACCCTGAGAGTAGTGAAAAATTTATATACAGCGTGTCGTTACCATCGCGACAATAAATGAACACACATGTAGGAGATAACTTTTTAAAGTTGTATTAAACATTTAAAGTGACAGAAGAGCGAAGTGCTCTAGTGCGATATATTGGAATTTTTCCTTTGAGTAACTAGGAGAAGCAGGGTCGCTAAGAATAGAATAGAGAAAAAGAAGATTTCGTGAACTAAGTCTCTGATGAATACTAATTAAGCTGAGAACTACCATTTAAGCTGAGAACGATTTGAGATATGTGATCATATTTACGTAATCCGAAAATATACCTAATGCAATTGTTGTAGAGACGCTCCAGGTTATTAAGTAAATCTTGGTATGGATCCGAGCAACAGACATCTGCATAATCCAAAATGGCTAAGACAAGGGAATTGACAAGCGTAAGTTTGCGCCAATGGACATCTGCATCACCAGAGGGCTTACAAATGTGTTGCCGGTCCTTGAAGAAAGATTATGCTCTCTTCTTGTAGGTTCCCAGGTCGTAATGGTTCGGAAATACCGCCGACCGCAGCTAGTTCTACAGAGTGGTTGTGCAAGAATGCCTTGAAATTGCGATGTTGTGGAACGCTGGACATCAAGGTGGTGTGGTTTAAATTTTTGCTTTTGGTGCGATGACCGATGGTGAAATTCCGTCGCCGGGATCAATCCAAACAATTACTCGGAACACTCCCCGTGATAAATGCGGTAAAAGATACAGAGTGATCCAATGTTAGAGACGTTGGATCACTCTGTATGAAAGGATCAAGCCGATCGGAAAGACTTTGACCGTCGATAACCCTAATGCGGTCAAATGGAAGACGGTAATAGGGGGCACCCGCTCAGAGGTGAGAACAGTACTCCACGTGCGGCCGAATTTGTGCCTTATAAAGGTTTAGGCGCTGAACTGACGTGAAGTACTGTCTCGCCTTGCTGAGCACACCAAGCTTCGTTGAGGCCAATTTGGCCTTACTTTCCAATTGACCGCGGAACTGGACGTTGCTCGAGATTTCGACGCCAAGTATTCCGACACTAGCTCTGGCAGACAGGAGAGTGTTCTCAAAATGAGGAGTTACAACAAATGGGGACTTTTTAGTGGTTCACGCTTAAACTTGTGTCTTATTGGGGTTGAATTGGACTAAGTTTAGTCGACACCAGTTCGAGACTTTAGTTAACAAAGTCTCAACTTCAGACAAGTTGTTCCGGCTCTCATTTTCCCGAGAAATATTAGCACGGACAGTATACGCGACGACTACAGTACTATAATCTGCTTATTACTATGTAGATGACGTACGTTGCTGATTTGCAACATGTGATTAATATGCAGAAGAAACATCCCCCTTGCTCTCAACTGCTTCTGATTCAGTATAGTACAGCTTTATCCTTGTAGAGTACCAGCATTGACAATTTAGGATCAGTAGAGTTTATATGAAATCACTCATCACTGTGTCATATAATTTTAAAACGTTTTGAAACTTTTAAAATATTTCTTTTTGCGGTGCCCACTGTTACTAATACTAACAAAAAATAATCATCAAAATCGAACTATTACAGTTATTGCTGAATATACATGAACAAAATGGTTCCGAATAATCGATAATAAGGTATTTTTTCGATATAATTCGATACAACATCTATAAACTGTGACAACATGTCATATTTGAAAAGAATTTATCATAGTCTGCACCTTAACACCCTGTTACCAGCGTGACCAGATTTAGTAGATTTCTACTTTTTTGGTAGATTTTGAGGTACTGGCAATAGAATTTAGTATGTAAAAATTATTTGGTATATTTTAGTAGAATTCACGCTTTAAGTTATTCTAGTACTTTTTTGGCTTATCGGATAAATGTGGGGTATTTCCCCTTTCATTAAATGGATTGTAACTATTTAATTTTCATTCTTTTCGTTACCATTCATGCCGTGAGCATAGAGTGTGATAGACTAGTTGGAAGACATACGATGAATCAGAGGATGCACACACACACACACACACACACACACAAACACGCACACGCACACGCACACGCACACGCACACGCACACGCACACGCACCCACACACACACACACACATTCGTGCACCCACCTACTTCGCCATTCATTTAATTCATTACATTTTTTTTGTTTTATTATTATTATCATTTTTTAGTTGTTCTAACTAAATAAAAAAATAACATATAATTTGAACAGGAAAGTGACTACTCTTACCATTTGTTACGATTCTGTTTAATTATTACGAATGCTTTTTCTGTTTTTTAAATATTAAGTAATTATTTGTAACTTAATTTGTATTTTTAAACATTGCTACAACTGCCGCATAACATTGGAAATCGTCAAGAACTAACCCCCATAGGACAGGCATTGCCTAGTGTGGGGGTCACAAATAAATTTAACTGTAAATTGGCTTTTTCTGAATCAAGTTTATTCTTATTCTTATTCTAATTATATTTTTATTATGAATTTAACGTAAAGAAAAAAAACATTGGTTTCATTACTTATGGTGGTTTTTTGTTATTTTTATTACTTTATCGTTTAATCAAGACATGTTTTTAATGTTTTTAGGTTTTAATACGACAGCAAAAAATATACTAGATTTTTAGTATTTTCTTGTTCTCTTTTGGTAGAATTCAGTAGTTTTTAACCTCGACAAACAGTAGATTCGTCAAATGAAATCTGGTCACACTGCCTGTTACATCACTTTGCATTCGAAATTTAATTTTCGATTCGGACTCTGCTGTTTCCACTGTAGTATATCATTAAGTGGTACTTGTTAAAATTTAACAAAATGAGCGCTTGGAGGCAAGTTGGTCTTAAGTAAGTTTGTAAACCAAAAAGGGATTCTAAGACTAAAGAGAAATAAAAGCCATTTTTCGATTGTACTTCCATAAAATAATTCTGGTCTCATTTTCAGCTACATTAACTACTCAAACATCGCAGCTAAAGTCTTACGTAGATCGCTCAAGCCGGAATTTCGGCCAGAAGCGATGCGCCGAGATGAATCCCGCGTCCGAATTACACCTTGGGCAAATGGCAGACCAGCTCGTAAGTATATCCTCATCATCTATCTAACCTAGGGATGAGGCGTAAATACTGGATCAGGTATAAATACCCAGTATGAAAATACCAGTACGCACACCGGGTATGTACGGCAGAGGGCCGTTCCATATCCGATAGGTATGGCCGCCTCGTCCGACGGTGGCGGTATATAACGCTCGCGACAACCCGCCGGCCGAATAGATACGAAGTTCCCCGAACGCTTACGGCGGCTCTTCCCGATCATGCCCGAATTGAAACATTATAGGCATTTTATACCAAATAATTCCTTGAGATAAATTTATTCTTTATTTCTATGACCATAAGTTAAATAAATAATTGCGTAATAAGGTTAAGCAGTAATATTTATTTTGAATTACTTTTTTTTGATAATAGGGTTCTTTACGTTAGTAAAGATGGAGCTTATTTTAGACTGATTAAATCTCACTTTAAAAAAACTGATTGCTAAAAAAACATCTAAATGTTCCAATTCCAACTAAAGAAAGGTTCAATTCCATACAGGGTCTCCAATAGGAGGCCTGGACATAACTAATACCTATAGGTATTTTGAAACTGGGTTTTAGCACCGGGTATACGGCGATACCCATACCTTTGAGGCCAGGTATAGAATCTTGCAGGTATATCTCATGCCTAGTCTAACCCTTGATTTAAAATGCAATTGTCAGCCTCGTCAAGCGTCACAAAAGTAAAGGATTTATTATTGTAGATTCTTGTCTATAGACAACAAATGTCAACCTCCAAAAAACTCCGTTACAAAATAATTAGGTGTATCATGAATAATGAATGGTGGATATTTAGCACATCTTGTAATATTTACACATTTAATCTTATGTAATGTTATACTTTTATTTCAGATGAGAAGGAATAATGATTAAAAAAGTGTAAGTTAGGCTTGTGTAGGAATGAAATTTACCTAACATGTGTTTCTAGAACTAGTTTTGTGCCTGTGAGCATCTCAGTGTGAACATAATCCTAAAGTTACTTAAAAATCCAAATATGACTAATGCTTCCACGTTTCAGTGTTTATTTTATTAAATTATTGTCCTTATAGGACTTATTACTAACATGAAATTTTGTGTATATTACATGTGTACCCATTGTCAAATTCAAATCATTATTAATGCCTTGATCTTGATAAATCACTTTATTTTTTCAGATCTCCAAAAAGCACCAGCAAAGTAAAAACAATATAAATAAAAACAATCATGAGGTACATATAATTATATCAAACAAGTTTTAGATTTATTTTAATAAATTGTTACTGTAAACATGTTTTTCATTTCTACAATACTATAAAATATAAATACACTTTTACATTATCATCATTTCTCTGTCACAAAAATAAAAATCTTCATGATTACTTCACAATTTTCTTCTATTAATATGGTGGTTGTGTGAATAACTAATTCAAGTCAAAATAATTTATTTATTTCTCTTAAAAATAAATTAGTTTATTTTAGGGGTTTTTATTGACAAATTGGCTTCTTTAACTTTATCTATGATATTCACACCCAGTGGTGCATTTGGATCCACCTCACTCAAAGATATTTGTGACACTGCATTATAACCTTTCAACAATTTTTCGATGCCATTCCAAGCAACCATAACTCCATTATCTGTGCATACATTATGTGGTGGTCTATATAAATTATAACCTAACTCGGCACTTACATATTTTAACTTTGAGAAGATAAAGTCATTGCAAGCCACACCACCTGATATTACAATGTTTCTTTTATTCTTGTGTAACAATTTTTTCATTTCACAAAATTTGATGGCTCGTACAAGCCTATGTGCCAAATGTTTAGATATACTTATCTGAAAGGATGCACATAAATCATTTACTTCTGGTATTATTTCATCACCCATCAAACCATGCTCTGACTCGAGTTTTATAAGTTTTTGTACTAATGAATCCTTTAAACCACTGAAACTGAAATCACAGTCTTTGTTTCTCTGCAGTGGAACTGGAAATTGGATGTTAATAGGACCAATTGCTTTACTAGCAGCTAATTCAATTGCTCTGCCTCCTGATATTTTAGAATATTCATTAATATTGCGTAATTTCATTCTTCGTGCAGCCTTATCCAATACCTCACCAGGTGCATTATCTAGAGTCTGTCCAAGTAGTAAGAAATTGTCAACATCAGAAACAACAGCTAAAAGACAGTGTCCCCCAGAAATCAACAATGTCAAATAGGGAAATGGTATTTCATAAAACATTCTTGTTACTAATGCATGGGCTTCCATATGATGTACAGGAATTAAAGGTTTATGAAACTTTTTTGCTAGGAAATTTGCATACTTCACACCTATCACTAAGCTAAACATCAGGCCAGGTTTATTAGTTACTGCTATTGCATCTACTTTATGTATATCTAAAGATGCATTGTTTAAAGCATCATTGACAACAGACTCAATGTTATCTCGATGAAGATCGCGTGCATGTATTGGATTAACTCCACCATACCTTAAATGAATAGAGTTTTGCGAATACAAAGACTCGCCCAATATACGGCCTTGAATATTAACGACACCACAGCCGGTATCATCACAAGAAGTTTCAATACCTAAAATTATATTTTTAGTATTAAGTTTCCTCTTTTGAATCGTAACTAAATATACCTCCAATTTATGGCATAACTTAGTGAAATTTAACATAAGCGACATTTTTATTTAACTTGTAAAAAATGAATCAGTGCTAAAAGGACATATTGCACAAGAGCAAAACAATTGGATAAATCTCCTGACCAATTTTTAACTTTTATGACGTTACTCAAATAATCCAATTATCTAAAGCTATAATATAAACAAAAAGCTGTACTATATTTTTTTATATTTTATATAGATACTCAGTTTAACTCAAACTCAAGAATTCCAATTTCAAATGATTCCAAATCCAAATTTAATCCCCATTCCAGATATATAAAAGTACTCTTTGCCATTTTCAATTAAAAAGTTTTTGGTTTTTGTTGACACTGACGTACGTAGGGAGGGAATATCGATATATTAAATATAGAATGCCGAAAAAATATCGATATATTATATTTAATATATCGATATATGTAAAATATTCAATATTGAAATCGTATCAAATTCAAATTTAATTCAGGTAAATATTATCAGAATTCAAAGCCTTAAATAAATTGTGTTATTTAAAATACATCGTACTATTCACTATCCATATCTAAGGTACAATAAGGTATTAAGGTGTGTCAAAACGTTAATATTGAACTACATGTTAAACTAATCTATAAATAGCATGCGTAATATAAATCGTATCAAACAACTATTTCTAAATTTTTAGAAATAGTTGAAGTTTGTAGTTGAAGTCTAGACCGTATCATCCGCCTAAGGGCCTGACCAAGATGAATAATAATAATAATATAGGTAGTTCGTATTAGCAACACGACGTTATTTTTATTTCATATTCGAGATATGTATGTACGTCTATGTATACTAGTGTTGCACAACCATCGATAGTTTGACTATCGATAGTTGACCTTGAAAACTATTGAGGATATCGATTGTACTATCGATAATATCGTCTAAGTCAATACTTTCAATACTACCAATAATATCGACAGTATTTACACGCGACAATACTATCGATAGACTACCGATACTATTGCTTTTACCTTAACTATCGATAGCAGACTATCGATATGCAATACTACATTCTAGGGATGCCGAAAGTTGAAAAAAATATCGATATATCGGTATACCGACATATCGGTCATAATAAAACGTATTTTTTTATTAATTTTAATCAAATTTCTTTTATTAATCAAAATTTCTCGGAATGTTATTTATTAAGTCCTTCATTGGAAAAAAACAAACAGCTTATTTAGTAAGATAAACCAGTTTTTTTAACCTTGAATCGAATAAAAAAATAACTAATTAAAAAACATGTAACTTTGTAAAAAAACGTAAAGAATTGTTTAAAATGAAGTTAATAATGGGTCAAAAAAAACCTGCAGTGATTTGTCCTAAAAGACAGGCCTAGATCAACAGAATTTAGTAATAGTTGTTTGATTGACATGAAAATGCTGAACGATAATTTAAAGAAGTTACTTATGTAGTAGTTAAATGATAATAATTTATACGACGTCAAATAATTTTTTGTTGCCAAGATGCCATTAATATTTTGCATGCTATTTATAAATTAACATAATGTTTAGTTCAATATTAATGATTTATAACACCTCTATACCATGATAGACCTAAGATATGGATAGTAAATATACGAAGCATCAAAAACCGTGACAAATGGTTTTGGTAGTCCTCTCGAGATGTTAACCTGACACTGCCTAAAGAATTTTGAAGAGACCGAAACAAGTGGAAATAAGAAGGACGCATTAACACCTCCCAGCCAAACTCTCTTAATTTTGTCTTGCTGAGTGCCTAAAGATGTGTGACGTCTATCACGATGAAAAACCACACCCCTTCTGTTGATTAATTTCGGCCGCTTACTCTCAACTTCTTGCTTTAATGTCATTAGTTGTTCGCAGTAGAGTTCAGAAACGATGGTCCTGCTTGGCGGTACCAGCTCACAATGAATAATGCCCTTCCAATCCCACCATACACAGCATTACTTTGTTGTGAGATAACATAGGTTTTGCCAGAGTCTGTGAAGCCTGACCAGCCTTTGACCACGACCGTTTTCGGACGTTCTTGTCGTATGTGATCTACTTTTCATAATCAGTTATCAGGTTTTTAAAAAATGGTTCGGTTTCATTACGTCGTAATAAAGAATCACAAATTAATACATGGTTAATTAGGTTTCTTTCAGGGAGGTCATGAGGCACCCTAATATCGAGCTTTTTTGTGTATCCAGCGTATTTCAAATGCGCCAAAACTCTTTTGTGGTCAATACCCAGTTCTTCAGCTACATGGAAACTACTGATATGCCGATCTTGCTCCACTTTTTCAAAAATGGCATCCATTTTTCCGGAACAGGGCGCCCAGAGCGAGGTGCATCTTTGACATCAAAATTTCCGGATTGAAAACGTTTAAACCTAATTTGTGCTACTCTCACAGACACTGCACTAGGTCCATAAATATCACAAATTTTTTTCGCGGTTTGCGTTGCATTTTTACCTTTTAGTAGTAAAATTTTAAAATGTATCGAATTTCTTCATTAGAATCACTCATCTTAACAGTAAAAAAAACAAATCAAAATCACACATTTTCCTAATTTGAATTTGGAATTATCTTTTTTAAAATTTAGACTTTTTAATGATACCAAAACCAGCCAGATACAAATGGTATAGCCAAGTTTTTCCCCAACCTAATATTAAAAAATGCAACTCTGATTACGCGACAATTCCAGTAATAGACCATAATTTCTTTTCGTTCATTTTTATCCTTTACGCATTTGAATAAGTTTGATTAAAAATATCGTTTTGATACAATTTCGATATTCAGTTTTTTATATCGATATATCGGATCAAAATATATCGGCCAAAAATATCGATATATTTTTTCGGCATCCCTACTACTTTCTACCATTCATTTAATTTCATAATGTTGCTTGAGTAGGTAACGTTACTATTTTGATGTTCACTTTGAACATGAAAATTACTTCACTCTAATTTTCTCATCGCGCTTGTCCGATAGTTATAAATTGTGGTTATTAAAATTGTTTCGTAAGTCTGAAAAATTAATATTTTCTGTCCAATATTTCGGTGAGTGATATGATAACCTATTCCGTTCAAATATTTTCACAAGGTACAATTTTTAAAGGTTCATTGATTAATAATAAAAAGATTCTCCTTACGACTGTATTGTTCACAAAACAATTATACAGGCTTTGTCATTTTATTTAGAGCTGATTTATCTAATAACTGGTGAAACTCATCGTTGAAATCCGGTATCCTTTATATTTCCTGTTCTTTATCCCGGATATCTATTTAGCTGGTCGTAATATTCTAATAAAAACTTTTGTATTATTTTGTTATCGAGATTAGAATTATACTAACTTAAAAATTTTGTTATTCTTATTTAAATATTAACTTTGAATAAGAAGAAATGTAATTTTTATAAGTTGTGGTTTTAATTGAATCTTTCTAATTGTATAGTCAAAGTATAAATGAACTTATTCTTTATATAAATATTGTTTAGTCTATTAACATTAAAATATTAATTATCACAGTAAGCACCCAAAATTCAAAAAGTACTCTCAAATCAATATTTTGTTCCAGGTTCAATGAAATTTGATACAAGCTGACATAAAAATGATGATGAATCACTTAAATGTTTTGAAGCAATCTACTGTTGTACATTTATGTTTTGCTATATCATACTTTACCTCTGGTTTGATATTGAATTTAATACAGGCCATATTTTATTTTGGATTAAGGCCTTTTAATAAGGCATTGTACAGAAAAATTAACTATTACCTTTCATACTCATTTTACAGTCGTAAGTATTATAAATTAAATTTGAATTACATGTATGTATTTCATAGGATAGTACTTTCCTATAAGTTTCTGTTTCTGGTTATATTTAAAGTTATGCAGCCTCTATTATATGTTTCTAAAATTGCTATTTTAGAGTGGCTTTTTGTTTATTTGGTTAGTTTCATTCAATTGCCTTTTTATTACCATTTTTATAACAATCATTATTATTAAGTATTTTCTTAATTATTACTTGATTTAGTAATCTTGATGATTTTTGCTTATATCTCAAGAGGTAGGCACTTATAAAAAGTGGCTGATTATTTTACTAAAATACTTTAATTTTTTCAGAATTAGTGTTCATGTCAGAATGGTGGTCAGGGACAACAATATCAATGTATGTAAAAAAAGATGAATACAATAAGTTTTATGGCAAAGAGCATGGGTATCTTATTATGAACCACAGTTATGAGATAGACTGGTTGATGGGCTGGCAGTTTTGTGATGGAATTGGTGTTTTAGGTGTAAGTATAATTTTACTATTTTATTTTTTTATGATAAGGCTATCCTAATATTCGGGCACACATTCGGACACATTTTTTACACAAAATTCTCTAGTCCCAAACTAAGCAACGCTTGTACTATGGGTACTAGAAAACTGATAAACTTACTTAAACATACTTTTGTAAATAAATACATATTAAACATATATAAACACCCAGACACTGGAAAAACACGATATTCATCACACATTATTTTTCCAGTAGTGGGGATCTAAGCCACATTCTGGCGCAGGAGGCAGGTTCAATTGGATTGTCAACAGTAGTCGTAATAAGTTATAGTAAAACGTATTCTAGGTTTATTACTGAATGGGACAAACTAAAAAGTTAAAGTTCCGTAAAAAAGAAACCCTTATAAGATCTATACCTCTTTTCCGTGTGTCACGGATATTCTCAGGATCGGGTGGACCTAGAAAGTCGAAATTATAGCAGATACTGAGGTCTATGGTCCCTATTAGGTGTATAATAATTAAGGTCCTAAGCCGACACCATAAAAGATATGGGCAAATTATATTTTCAATTCCGTCCTGTTCGAGGGCACTACGCCCGAAGCGTGGAACGGAAGCGTGGTGATCCTCTTCTTCAAGAAAGGTGACAAAACCTCGCTGAAGAACGACAGGCCTCGCACGCAGGCCTGATACGCTACGGCAAATTATACAGAAGACTGAGGAGTATAATTTGCCACTATGCTTAGCGTTGGTGGACTATGAGAAAGCCTTCGAGTCGATCGAGACTTGGGCAGTGCTGCAGTCTCTTCAGAGGTGCCACAGTGACTATCGGTACATCGAAGTGTTGAAGTGGTTGTATAAAAACGCCAACATGTCGGTCGGAGTACAGGGTCAGAGCGCGGAGGCTATTCCCTTGCAGAGGGGAGTTAGGCAAGGAGATGTTATATCTCCGAAACTCTTTACCAATACAATGGAAGACGCCTTCAAGCTTCTGGATTGGAAAGGATGTGGCATCAATATCAACGGCGAATACATCACTCACCTTCGGTTCGCCGATGACATCGTAGTCATGGAAAGGTCTTTGGAGGAGCTCAGAACAGTGCTTGAAGGTCCTAATTGTGTCCCAGCGGGTGGACCTGATAAAGAACATGGACAAAGTCAAAGTATCTTTATTCAATATAGGCTTTAACTTAATCTCTTATTGAACGTCAGCAAAAAATCTACCACCAGTTCACTAAACTAGACCTGAACAGAGAAGAACCGGCAAGAAACTCTGCGGTCTTGTTCTTTTTGTAATGCAGTTATACAACCTTATTTAGGTATAAAATCAAGAGCAGCCAGGGGTCTTGCAAGTGCAGGGCAAGAGCCATTTCCACACATCCTTGTCCGCGATGTATTCTTGGACATAATAGTAGGCCCTTACTTATTTGTGGATGTCACCTATTTTATTATAAAAGGACAAGACGAAAATCATGTCAAATGTTCAAGTGACGCCCACCCCCGTATTATTGGGAGGCTCGCCACTCGAAATTGGTGATGACTTGTATGTCTATCTGGGACAAATGGTCCAAAAAGGCAAATCCAATTTCGAGAAGGGCTGCGTTCGGGAAATTACGCAGCGTCTTTACGTCCACAATACCACATTACTTAAAGACGAAAGTCTTTAATTAGTGCGTGCTACCAGTGATGACCTACGGTTGCCGAGACGTGGTGTCTGACTATGGGCCTCATAAGGAATGTCACGGTCGCACAGCGAGCTATGGAAAGGGTAATGCTTGGGGTTTCTCTACGAGATCGAATCAGAAATGAAGAGATCCGTAGAAGAACTAGAGGCACTGACATAGCAGAGCGAGTCAGCAGGCTGAAGTGGCAGTGGGCAGGGCATATAGCTCGGAGAACCGATGGCCGTTGGGGCAGAAAGGTTCTTGGGTGGAGACCACGTGACGGCAAGCGCAGCGTAGGAAGGCCTCCCACAAGTTGGACGGATGACCTGGTAAAGATCGCAGGGACGCGTTGGATGCAAGCCGCTACCGACCGGTCGAAGTGGAAGTCAATGTTCAGCAATGGACGTCGTACGGCTGATATGATGATGAACTCCAACGGCTTTTGCAACGCACACCAAAATAGCTCGCAGATGGCTTGGACAATTCACATAATATCTTTATAAATTAAAGCTTATGTGTTATTATGATGTGTCAACTATATTATTGTAAAATTTCATTAAAATCTATTCAGTAGTTTTTGCATGAAAGAGTAACAAACGCCCATCCATACATACAATCTTTCGCGTTTATAATATTAGTAAGGAAAGGAAGTAATGATTAGTTAAGGCCCATTTACACGATGCCATTTTCTTGTACATGCAAGAGCAATAATTGAATGCAATAAATTGCGCGCAATAATTGGTTAGACCATTTGTTGTTTAGACCATGCAACTTATTTATTGCTTCAATTTAATTGTATACAACAGGCAAGAAACTGGCACCGTGTAAATGGGCCTTAAGGATACAGCTAGTACACTAGAGCAGGATTGTCGCTCGTAGTGAGGTAACAAATTATCACTAACAATAGGTGCGAAATTGTTACTTTATAAAATCTAAATCTTATCTAAGACTTACAATTTAAATTAAAGGCCCTTTATGGAAGAGTATCTATAGATAGTAGACTAAAGGCCCATTTACATGGTGCCAGTTTCTTGCCTGTTGTATACAATTAAATTGAAGCAATAAATGAGATGCATGGTCTAAACAACAAATGGTCTAACCAATTATTGCGCACAATTTATTGCATTCAATTATTGCTCTTGTATGTACAAGAAAATGGCATCGTGTAAATGGGCCTTTAGAGTATATATCTATATTGATACGTAAATTTATGAATTATTAATTAAAATCGTTTGACCTTTGCGTCTTAGAAAAAAACTTGTTCTAAGTGTTATTGATTCTCTTTATTGACGGTAAAAGAATAATTTATCAGATTTATAATGGGCACTTAAACCAGATATTAATTAATAATTTATTCTTTCTTCATCACTTTGTTACAAATAGTTACATTAATGAGAGCGAGATAATATTTCAACAAAAGGTAACCAACGGTATTTTATTTTCTTCAAATATGTATAGTCTTAAGAGAAAAAGGAACTAATGGATTGCACTTTTTTCTGTCTTAATTCGCCGTTAGGCCGTTATCCAAAGACCTAGATCATTGACCGCGCCTGAAGGATTTATTTATCGTATTCGTACGTGAATTTTGCCTCCATCCAATTACTGCAATCTATAAAATTACTTTAACAACAGTATTTCGCATTCACAACAATAAAATAGCTATAGCTAATAAACCGACAACAACAGAATGTACACCTCGTGGCGTCAAGAACGTTAAAAGATGTTTTTTATCGTATTCGTTAGCTTTATTTTTTTTATTGTTTTAACTCTTAACAATTGAGTGGAAAAAGAACCGACTCTCTTTGTCACTGACCGCATAAAAAGTATACCGTAATTGATCCAATTTGATTTTTAATTTTTAGTGCTGGTCTCTGCACTTGTAGACAATCCGGGAATTATTATTTTTTTATTCAATTTGCATTAAAATGAATTAAATTTTTTAACGAATTAAAAAATGAATTATTAGAAATAAATTAACGGTAACTCGATAAAGTTAAAACGTTGACGAGATCTACAATTTTCAGCAAGTCCATAATGTTTTCATTTAAATTTATATTAAACATTGAGTCATTCCGACCGCTTTAGCCTCGATTATAACTGACATTCCAGCAACTCCGATTATAGACATTATCAACAACACGAAATGCAATTTCTTAATGTAAATTCCTTTTACATTTTCATATTTACTAGTGATGTTCCGGATATTCGTATCCGTATCCGCGGATATCCGTCGGAAAAAAGATCCGTATCCGCTACATTTTGAACGGTTCTTTTACGGATCTTTGCCCTTATAATTGTAACTAAATGATAATTCTAGTTAAATTAATAAACTGTGACACTTAAAATGTTTACTTTAGATTACAAAAACACAGTGACAAATGAAATGATGAACGGTAAATTGTTCTTTAAAAAAGAGTAACTTGGCAGCTTCATCCCTCAAAAGTCATGATAAAAGATAAATATGTGCGAGCAATATGACTGACACCTCCAAACTTTTTACTGTTAATCTGCTAATACTTTAGTGGATCTTGGTCTCTTGATAATCGGATTATGGTGGTATGGCGAACAGTGTTCGCTGTTGCACGAATGGGCAGGTCGGTCAGGGTTAGTACCAGGACCTCGTGACCAAAAGACTCGACCAAAAGACCGGCGTGAAGTAGAAGTGTTTCACTTCTGCGTTTCGTCTGTTGGCGGGTAGCTGGGGCCCACTTTATAGAGAGATACGAACGCATCTGCAACCTGGTCCATGGGCAGGCGGTTATCTCTTAACATCAGTTGAAGCGCCACTCGTTTGCCACTTTCTTACATAAAAAAAATATTTTCTGACATATGCTGTATGACCTATTAGTTTTCGTACCTAATATTTTGTTTTCAGATCACATTAGTGATGATAATGATGAGCAATAAATATCTAACATGTTAGCCATAGACTCCTCTAGACTCTGGCAAAAAATCATTGGTTTGTCCTTAGTACTTAGGTATTGCAGTTTTTGTGAGATTTACTTCATTTTCGAAAGTTTTACGAAATTTTTTTTTATTCCTTTGATCCGTGTGGCTAAGAATGTGGCTACTTGAAACAATTTTTTTTATTAATTTCTGATAAACGAAAATCTAGTTTATCCTTTGAATTAGACACAAAATCAAGGACGGTGGATACACTAGTATAATCTCCGTTAAGATCCGTATCCGTTTCCGCGGATTTTGACGGTAATAATCCGTATCCGGATCCGTATCCGCGGATCTACAATTTTTGTGATCTGGCACATCACTAATATTTACTAGTATCGTATATATACATATTTATATTTTTGTTTACAATATCATAAAACTTATGCTGTTAAATTGAAATCTTTTGTACTAACGTTATAATATAAAGAAAATATGCTCCTAATATTAACATATAATAATTTTCTACCTGTTTAAATTATTATTAATAAAATCGATAAAGTGTTGATAAGCAACAGCTCAATGTCGTATATTTCGTGTATATCGTTCGTATTACGAATACATTATGTTACTATGGAATTGGAAAACACGTCGAGTTTTCAGCCTAAGCTTATGATACCGTTAACTGCAAATAACTAATGCGATAAATAACGAGTTAATTGTGTATTACACTCAAAAGGCCATGTACCTTCGTTATCATGCTCGTGTTCACTGAAATTGTCACCCTGACAACTCTTTTCTAATACGAAGCAGAGATAGGTAAATAAAATAACAAAAAAATATCAAATGGTTTCGTGGGACACCAGGTAGGAACGAAGTTCCGTCGGCTAATGTAAAATCGACACAAATTGCAAAAAAAAATCGTGCTCAATTTTATGTAGGTTTTCTTGATTTTTCTCTTAAATTTTGCTGATTAGTTTTTATTTAAGTACAAGAAAGTATTTAGGAAATTCAGTATTTTAGGAAATAATAAATTACTTAAAATAAAAAAAACATCGTAATTCAAATTATCAACTAAAATAACAAAATATGTCTCTTTATTTTTGTTTGACAACATAAAATTATGCGACTGTCGCGCCTGCGCACGTCTCATTTAGCGGTTTTATTCCACGCACTTTTTTCCACGGATTTTTTCTTACGGTTTTACTATCACATTTTTTTCAGTTCGGTCGCGCAGCAAAATCCCTATCACCTCCAAGCCTGCCGTAAGGAACTTCGTTCCAATATTTTAGGACATATTTTCACACAACATTATCTAGTCCCAAACTTAGCAAAACTTGTACTATGGATACTAGATAACTGATAAACATTACATAATAGTACTTTCGTTTTGTAATTTAATAGGTTCAAATTAAATTTATTAAACAATTAACATTAAACACCCAGACACTAGAAAAAGTATGTTCATCACACAATATATTTCCAGTATTGGGATCGAACCCACACCCTCTGGTGCAAGAGACAGGGAGTCCCTATCCACTACGCCAATTGGGTCGTATAAAATTCGCTAGTACGGCAAATTATATCACTCTTTTTTTTAAATCTGAACCGTTTCCATTATAGAACTGCAAGGCGTACGCTAAAAAGGCTATCCAGTACATGCCTCCGATCGGTTGGATGTGGAAATTTTCCGAGTTCGTGTTTTTGGAGAGGTCGTTCGAAAAGGACAAGGAGATCATAAAGAACCAGATAACCGAGCTCTGCGACTATCCGGATCCAGTATGGGTAAGTATCGGTCGAGGGCGCTGAGATCGATTTTTACTTTCAATGACCCTATGTACAACGTTCAATTAATTGTCTTCCGTAAACATGTTTCGCGATTCGCATGTGCAACACGTGCCAACGTAGTCGTGTTCCGTAATTGTACCTCCGGTTATCATTGGTTATGCAATGACGCTATCCTACGTGCCACAATGTATGATCGTGTTACCTTATCGAAATATTATTAATATTATTATCGCCATGCTATAATTAGTTTGAACTGCATGGGAGGTGTTTAAAATAATTGAAACAATACAAATAAAATATTTTGTTTTGTTAGGACATCCAAAAGTATAGGGTATAATGGTTGAATTTCGATCGGTTGGCAAACGATAGTATTGAGAGGTCCTAATTTTGTATCACGTATTTATAGAGTTCTGAGTAATAAGTTAAAAAAATATTTTTAGTATTGAATCTTATCTCGATGTAGATTGTTTAGACAATTGAAAAATGTACCAAACAGACAGACAACCAGAAAATAGAGTTAATAAAAGCGCGATAGTGTCGCATACGTATAACAAAAAAAAATATTTCAAAAGACAAACCGGCCGATACAGCAAAGCATAACTTTGAATTACTATTCGTATACAACCATACATTATCTTGTGAAGTAGGCGGGTTATCGAATGGAGACCACCTCTCGGAAGACGTAATGTCGCTCGTCTCCCTGCCAGGTGGACCGATGAACTGACAAAGGTCGCTCGTAGTGGCTGGATGAGGAAGGCCCTTGGTTAGGCCTATGTCCAGCAGTGGACTGCAAAAGGTTGGTTAGATTGGATCATAGATTAATTTCTGTAAGCCCTCGGGTGTTGCAGGTGTTCATAGGCGGTGGTAATCACTTACCATCCAGGTGAGCCTCCTGCCCTTTTGCCAAATTTCGTACTTATTGCCTATGAAGATACGTTCGCCACCGTATGTTAACGTGTGCCCGTCATCGCGAATGCGATTCTCGGTTTCGGGTGATGCGAAACCGCACAAGTTCCTCAGCTGCTGATGACGCCGGAGGGGACAAGGTACACGCCAAAGAAACACGAGGCGTCACTCAACTTCGCGCGCGAGAAGAACCTGCCCCAACTCAAGCACCACCTTACGCCCCGCACTAGGGGCTTCACGACCAGCCTGCAGTACTTCAGGGGCAAGATACCAGCGATCTACAACATCCAGCTCGCCTTCGACCGCGACAGCAAGGTATGTGCTTTTATGTTTTCTTTGATTTTTTTTAGAGCCGCGATTTCTCATTGACCGGGCGCTTGCTTTTAATTGAATATACTCGAGCAACTTGATTCGTTCCCCGGTGTCGGCAACTGTGAAATTGTTTATTTTAAGTGCTGATTTATGACGCGCCCAACGGTGAAGGAAAACATCTGAGGAAACCTGCATATTTCCGAAATAATAACTAAAAAAATGTGTCGAAGATATGTGAAGTCCGCCAATCCGCAGGGGTCGCGTGTGGACTATGCCCTGATACCCTGTGTACAGAAGATGCGCACTGATGAACGCAACCTCTACCGCCAGCCGAGAGAAATAGCATATCTAAAAACTGGCCTACCTGAAATTCCCTCTCGAAAACGCTAGCTCTTAAACTATAAGATAATTCAGTCGCTCAGAGCGCCGGGCGCGTACCTTGAACCTTCAACCTTGATCCTTCCTTTTACACAAATAGTTGTCCTGTGTCGAACCCATGATACCCTGCGCCCAAGAAAGCTATTAAGGTATTGGTTTCCTTGGCAACTGCGCCATGGAGTCACCGTGTATGTCCTTCGCCGTTTCGCGTTCGGCGATAACACTCGAATTTATAATGTTTATATCACGGTCGACACCCGATCGAAGTCTACCAGACGCCTGCTATCGTTTTATGCGACGTTATTGTTGTTTATTGCGTTTACTCATTGCTTCATTGTGTTTCGTTTTCGAGGCCCAAACTAAGGTGTTAAACTTGTCGATAAGCTTTTTTGCTTTGTAAATTCGTTTGTTCCTTTGTGATTTCGATCATTGATCTCTGTGTGGCTTATTGACGCGTGTCAACAAAAAACTTGTTATGATAAATAAATAAATGTACCTTCGTAATATAGTATACGTAACGTAATAAATATAAGAACTTTTAAAATTGTGTTCTTTATCATTCCACCGACTATGACAGATAGATATTGCTCCAGACAATAATAGTTTACGCAGTTGACTGTACCCATTAACAGTCTGAAGGTCTCCGGTACGACAATAATGATTGCAAAATGGACTTCAGACCGCTTTTGATAACATAAACATTTAATTGAAACAACAGAATGTTTTTTTTTTATCAAACACGGTCGTATTACCTAATGCATGTTTTTGGATTAATTATTAAGATTTTTTATATGCATTTTTTTTATTTGGTATTATTCTAAACGCTTCTTTGCTTTCAACACTTTCTTCAGATCAAACAAGTCAACAGAATATGCGCGAAATTTAAAACTTTTATGTAATTTGTCCGAAGTTGATGGGAAAACATGTTGTGACGTTTGTGAAGTAGTACATATAATAGTGCATATTTATATAACTTATAATAACATATATGTTTGTTATCCATTGCTAACAATCTTCAGTAAGCCTCAAGATTGTGTGCAGACGGTCATTCGTCCATTGAATGGTGGTTTAAGGAGTAAGTACTCCAGAACGGCAATTAAAATACACTTGACTCCTTTTTTTCCTCATATATTTACCTGGGCTATTTTAAAATCACGACACGGATCGGATAATCGCCACCGCTGTATATTTATTTCAGAAAACACATCGTGTTTTACAGAGACAGGCACGCCAATTGATGGTATTACCGCCAATTAGTTTCTATCATTTCGAAGTCTCACTTAAAAAGGGTAATATGTTAGATGACACAAAAAGCTTTTATAATAAATAGGACTGTTTTAATTTATTTTTAATACATTTTTGTTTGATATTCTTATTTGTATTTAATTAAACAACAAAGAGGTAGTTTAGTTGTAATGTAATTTCGTAATGTCATAATATGCGTACGTGAAATAAACCACGTTTTATGATATCTTCACGTGTATTTTTTTTATGTTTGTTCACATATAAGAATACACTATAGAATCACATATAGAAGGTTTACGCAGTTTTTTTAAACACATTTCTGTTTAATAAAAAGATGTCCAGTATAGCTACTTTACTTTTAAAGAAATACAATTTGCGTGAACGAAAACTTCTTGTTATAAGATAAATAGATGTTTGTTAATATGGACAACCGTTCCGTTCTATTCATTAGCCCCCAGGTTAGGACAGAAATGCCTTCGTTGAAACTTTGAAATTCGAACGGGGAGCGATGGGGAATTCAGATAGCGAGATTTGTCTACCAGTGCAGCTAAAGAGCTTGCAGCAATGATATTCGTTAACACTACCACAACTGTGAGGCGATTGAACTAATCACTAATTAAACGTGGTCTCTAAGGAGAAGGATCATTTGGTTTTCGGCTTTACTACAGACGCCGCCGACATTGCTGAGCTTGTTATACGGGAAACCGGTGCACGCGCATCTGTTCATCGAGCGAATACCGGTGGAGAGGGTGCCCGTTGAGGAGGCAGACGCTGCCAAGTGGCTCCACGACCTGTTCGTCGTCAAGGTAACTCTTTCAGACATCTGCTTCTCGTTCATGAACATCACAGGAACATGTCACTGAAGTAAATTGACATTTTTTTTATGTGAGAATGTGGCAAGCGAGCCGGCGGTTCACCTGATGTTAAGTGTAAACCGCCGCCCATGGGCATTTGCAACACCCGTAGGGCTGCAGATGCGTTGCCATCTTTTGAGAAAGTGGCCACGTCACTCACCAGACGAAACACAGGAGCATATCACTTCCACAGAGTTACCATGTAAAATATCAACTTATTTGATTAAATGTTTTTTTTTTATTAAAAAGAAACATTAAACTGACTTGTCTGGATATGATTTGTGTTGAGATGCATGTAACAAATCAAATACACTAACGCCCGGTTTCTGAAACACTGGTCATTCTGATCATAAAGAAGATCATTCTGGTCAATTCAGAGAATTTAACCATCCTTTTGGTACCTAAATTGTAATTTGAAATCCATTTGACAGCTGATTAGTTGACATCTATGATGATCAGTGTTTCAGAAACCGGGCGTAAGTGAGACTAATTCGCGGGTAATGTCCTCTCATGTTAGTGTGTACACGATAATACAAATTCACCTCAATTCCACTGCAATAGTACTAGTACCAATCTTACCTCATAAAGATGATGTCATCTTGTTTTTTATTAAACACTATTTTCTCTTATATGAAAAGTAGTTAGTTTAGTAATAGTTTACTTTCAGGATAAGATGCAAGAATCATTCTTCAACACGGGCAATTTCTTTCTGGAGTCCGGTGTAGAAAAAGTGGACTGTTTCCAAGTGCCACCTCGTGTCTATTCACTCATAAACACTATTGGATGGGCCATTGTTACATTGACTCCAATGATGTACTATTTGGTTGGCTTGCTGTTTAGCGGAAAGCTTCTTTATTTGTCGATCGGTGGCGCCATTCTAGCTGCATGTGAGTATTAAACTATTTATTCTAATATTTAAAGAAAAAAAACTTTCGTTTTCTGTAGGACCCTCACTAAATGTTGATGTGACAAAAAAACAATGTCATTAATTTTGTATACCTAAATGTTGTGGTTCTTATATGCGACAGCTCAACTTTTGCACTCGAGAGTACATGCGCTGAGGGCAGGAGGCATCTTCACTTTGATCCATTTGATCTCTTATTCAAATGCATTCTGATCATTAAGATCATTCTGATCATTAAGAAGATCAATCTGATCATTAAGAAGATCAATCTGATCATTAAGAAGATAATTCTGATCAATTCAGAGAGTTTAATAATCCTTCTGGCAACTCGAATAACATTTGAAAAGCCATTTGACAGCTGATTAGTTGACTTCCTCAGAAACTGGGCGTGTGTTGTCTGAAAAATGTCATTATTTAATAAAACTTGATTCATTTAAGCTTAAGCCAAAGTATTTGATACATGGTGAATTAAAACCAAAATTAAGTATATTGTTTCATAGAATAATTTATATGACAAAAAAAATACTTTTGCGTTGCATTGAAACAAGACATCTTTTTTATTACTTTTACAAAAACCTTTCTTTTCAGTTTATATTCTGCTACAAAAATCCATTGGAATCACTCAAATCAGCCAAGGTTCTTCATATGGGACTGAGAAGAAGTAACTGTTATCATGTAATTTTCTAATTATACCATAGCAATTTGAAGTATTAAAATAAAATATGACTTATGTTGAGATTATTGATTTATATTAATGGTATAATTAGATAAATTACATATTGTATTGGTTTTTGTTTTGTTTATGTTGTATTTTGTTTCTTTGGATTGTGTTAAATACTGTGAAATAGTAAAAATATTAATATTAATTAAAATAGTGGCTGTATATTCACAATGGTTTGTGATACTCTTTTGGAAATTGTATACAAGTTTGTATGTTATTACTGAGTTGTTGCTACGTCTATTTTTGACAAAAGTTGTATTTTTATAGTGCTCTCAACATTTATGTAAAAATTAAAGTACAGTCCTTTTTTCTATTTTATTTTTTACAAAAAGGCGTAAGGATTACCTTATATTGAGCACTTATATTGAGCCTTATTGCCTACTTATATTGAGCACAAATCTAAAAAAGAATTTATATATGGTTTCGTTTTATTGAAGTGGGAATGGATAAAGACAATTAATTCATAGTTTCCATGTACATCCCATCAAAAAAACAATGCCACAATATTAATTGCACAAATGTTTTTCAAGTGTTTTCGTAATGAATTTTTCGTTACTGTTGATCTAAATTATTAAAATACAATTTTACTGGACCATGTCAAATGGAAAATTCATTTTTAAAATTTAATATTTTCAAAATCATATTTAAACAAGAAGTACATTTTTATGCCTATTTTATATATTATGGGTGATGGTAATAGGTGTACATTATTTTTTGAAAATTGTTATTATAATATTTATTTATTTATTTATTACCACATTTAAAATTATTTCATTTATTTATTTAAGGTACATGAAACAGTATAATGTAAGAAGTGAAATTGAGTGCAATGTTCTTTTCAGTGTGAACTAGACTAGTGTGTTTGTTATATTATAAATCAAATTTACCTTACTCTTGGGCAACAAAGAAGTTAGTCTTCTATTAGTGTTAACCTGCAATATATTATGTCCAAAAACTGAATAATATTAAGAATGTACAATCAAGAGAAATTATTTTGATCATTTTTGTTAAACATATTTAACAATAAATATTTATTTTTCCCTGCACAATTCAAATAGCACTTTTTTTAAGCACCCCTTTATATTTTTACAGGAAAAATGTATCATAAATTCACTTACAAGTTGTGCTGTTAACGGCGTGGTATCCACTTACATATTTTGTCAGGGTTTTTAATTCTGCCCATTTTAACTTATACAGCGTGTCGTTACCATCGCGACCATAAATGAACACACGTCTAACGCAACTTGCCAATAATCATAAAAAAATATTAACGTTAAAAAAAATCTATAATTAAAAAAAATATTTTTCAAACAAACTAATTAAGTAAAAAAGAAACAAAATTTGTAACATCCTGTACAACTACAACTGACTGATTCATGCATTCAGAGCCTTTTTCATTCGTTGCCACGGCGTCGCATTACAAGCCTCTCCTTCTAACAGTATGTTTTGTCTCTTTTAAATTCATTCAACCCAATCATATGCTTTGTGACCTTTACAAATGAACTTTATGTAACAGTTTTAAACGTAAGGGTGTTCTAAAGTTCTTTGTTTTGGAAAATTTAATAACTGTAAATATTGATGTTTAAAGAATGTAAATGTTTAATAGAATTTTAAAAAGTTATCCTCTATATGTGTGTTCATTTATTGTCGCCATTGTAAAGACACGCTGTATATGTCGTAGTTGCTATTACAAATCTTTTATTTCATGAATCTATTAACGAGAATGATTATTATTACTTTGTAATATTACAAATTGCATTAGAAACTAATTCCTTATCATACCAAATGTAGATGAGATAAAGGTGAATAGTATTTGTACTAAACAAGAATATTTGTAAAATACCTAAATAAAAATTTAGGCGACTTTTTTCTTTTATTGCAATATAAATTCCTAGAAGCCTTAGAATTTATTTAACACGTTTTATTTATTCAATACCACAAATTATAACCTCAGAATATAGAAAGAACCAGAAGCCGCGTTCAGTCGTATCTACATTAGGAGTGAGGCGCGGTCAGTATTTCGGTATATATGTATCATCTATGGTGAGGCGTATTTATCGTAACTGGTATCCTGAGATAACAGACTACCTATTACAAACAAACTTAGATAACAGTTCCTGTTCCACACAAATCGTTCCTTAACTATATCTAATCTAGTTATATGCTTGTTATATCCTTAACACTATCTAATCGTTATATGCTTGTTATATCCTTAACACTATCTAATCTAGTTATATGCATATATTTGAACTCTTGATAGGCTTCCAATCACTTTGTTTTGTTTATGTTGTATTTCGTTTCTTTGGATTGTGTTAAATACTGTGAAATAGTAAAAATATTAATTAAAATAGTGGCTGTATATTCAGAATGGCTTGTGATATGTGATATAAATAGAAAAGAAAGCAAATAAGAAACGCTCATTAAATAATCTTAAATTATCTAACTCATAAAAGTTATTTATAAATTAAAATATAAAACAAAAATATAAAAGGTATAGTATGTTACATATATATGTATGGTATAGGTGTTGTAAATTAATGAATTGATGGCATCCATCACGGCCAGTGAACGCAAAATAAAACATTGTTCATTTACGTTCACTGATCACGGCACAGTTTTCATTTATGCAATTCTGGAGCGACAATAATGCTCCCATATTTTATTGCCTTTTGCGTTCACTGATCGCTGCAACAGTTTTCGTCACGCCATTATAGAGCGACAATAATGCTTCCATATTTTATTGCCTTCATTGGTTTTGAAGATTTGTGAAGTCCCTAACTCCCTAGTAGTTATTACCCTCTGTACAGAGGTGGCCTTTCTCCACAAGGGGACATATAACCTTTATGTCCACTTACTTTGTTACTTTACTTTTTTTACATTATTATTTAAATAACGTCCAAACTAGGTGAATGTGTCACATTCAAAAGTACGGTATAGTTGTTTAGTATTTTCCAAGTGATGGAATCGAACCGAACCAGACCAGAAGAGAAAGTAAATTTACCGTAATTAAGGATAATCTAATACAATGGTAGGGGGTAGTATGTATATTATATTATAAAAAATAATACATATTACATACAATAGGTTATTTTATTTATTGTCTATATATTGTATTTTAAAGCATATTATAGACTATATATGAAATTCAGATTATTCATATAAAGCACGTAAAAATTAAATGAATTAAATGAAATTACACTTGCGGAATATCCATTTTGCTTAATCTCAATATAAAGTCCAGTAAATACATTTGCACTTTTACCTCAATAGGTTTACTAGTTACAAAAAATCCTGGTACACCAGCTTGTTCCAATGTATCCTGCTGGTCACTAACCTAAAATATTTGATAATGAAATTTAACAACTATAAACCTTTATTTACACTACAAATAACTTGGTGAGACTAATATACATAAATAACACTACTGAAAATACTATCATCCTAAGTATCTACAGTTTATACAAATAATTTCAAAAATGTGCAAATTTTAATATAATTATTTATTCCTTACAGTACAATAACTTTAGTACCTTTTGGTCCAATTGAAGAACTAATTTCATGTCAGTTTGCTTTAATTCTTCTTTATGCCTTTGTAGTAATATATTCTTTTGAATTTCTTGTTGCTCTGGAGGGGTGCTATTCATCATTTCCTGAATTTCCACTGAAAGTATAAATCACTATGTGTTCTTTGATTTAACCATATTATTTAAATAGTTGTAATCAATGATATTATATACAAATACGAGGTAGATATAACACTGGGGCACAGAAACTACGGCACTCAAATTACGCCAATTGGTGTAATTAAATTGCAATTCTACAGACTGCTATCTCTTTCTGTATCGTCTGTCACATTCATTTATATACAGCATGTCTTTACCATCGCGACAATAAATGAACACACGTCTAACACTACTTGCCAATAAGCATAAAAAATTATTAACGTTAAAAAAAATATTTTTCAAACAAGCTAATTAAGTAAAAAAGAAACAAAATTTGTAACATCCCACAATTACAACTGACAGATTCATACTTTCAGAGACTTTTTCATTCATTGCCACAGCGTCGCATCTCGTCTCCTTCTAACAAAAAAAATCTCTTAAATTCATTCAACCCATTCATATGCTTTGTAACCTGTACAAATGAACTTTACATTTTTTTTATACGTAAGGTGTTCTAAAATTCTTTGTTTTGGAAAATTTGATAACTCGTAAATATTGATGTTTACAGAATGTAATCTTTAATACAATTTTAAAAAGTTATCCTCTATATTTGTTCATTTATTGTCGCGATTGTAAAGACACGCTGTATGTTATCGAATGTAAAGCAGAACAATTTATAAAGGCCATGCAGTATGTACATGTCATCTTTATAAAAAAATACCCATATAAAAAATAAGTTAGTGAGTGTCTTAAGTTTCCCTCAATTCCTCATATCTATCAATATGGATTAGGGTTGATGAGGATCTACTTATAAGGAAGAGGATGAGGATAAGGATTTTTTTAGAAAAAATAATTGGGGACGAGGATGAGGATCTGCTATGAGGAAGAGGAGGAGAAATAAGTAACAACATAACAAAAATATTATTTTTGGGCAAAATATATATTATTAAGTTTTAACAATTAAAACAAATCCTTCGTTATTTTTTAAAGATAAGAACAAATAAGTTTTAGGGGAAAAGTTTTTATTTTTTTTTTTAAATTAGTGTTAAAAATAATTAAATATTAATATTGAAAATTAATTTCTAGTAAATTTAATTTAATAAATAATAATTTAGATATTGTTTCTACAGATAATCGTCTTCGTAGCTCATCCTAAACCAACCCAGCACCACCTAAAAAGGCGTTCACTGGGAACACTTGATGGAGGGGCTGACAAATACTGACATACTACTCCATAAAGTTCAAAATATTTGCGTTCACTGGGAACACTTGATGGAGGGGCTGACAAATACTGACATACTACTCCATAAAGTTCAAAATATTTTGGGTTTACTTTCCATCATGAAAGACTATCTTCAGTCAGTGATATTCAGTCTCTTCCTTTATTATAATCAGCTAGCAGTGACTTAACTAAAGCATGTCTGTTTATTGGTGAGCATATCTCATCAAATAGCATGATTCGCTATTTTCATTGTCACTGTTAGGTGCTGAATTTAGCATATAACTTAAAAAAAAACTAAATAAAGAAATATTATTTAGTCACAAAATCCAGCAAACAAAAAAAATATTTTAAGAAACTGTTTTAATTAATAATAATAAACCGGCAGATTATTTGTCACTTCCACTAAAAATTCCTCTTAATAAGAGGAAGAGAAGGAGGATTTTGTAAAATTTATTTTGTGGAAATGGATGAGGAAGAGGATTCGTGAAAAAATGAGGAAGTTCCGCATTAAGAGGAAGGGGAATCCTCATCAACCCTAATATGGATTTAAGAACTTAAAGCTTAAATTTTTTCTTAATGTAATTTATTGAAAATTTAATTGTATAATGCTGAAGTAAGAAAAACAAACTTACTTGTGTGATTGTTTATTACTTGCAATCTTTGCTGAAATAAATGTTTCTCTGTAACATGTTGAATTTCCATCAATCCTTTAACAATTTCGAAAATTGTATCATTAAGTAAGCAATTAGCCAACCCAGAAAGTAATTCAATTGGAACTCTCATTTGATATTTTCTGTAATAATTGTACAATAATCACAATAAAAAATGGAATATGTAATTTTCTTGGAAGTAAATTGTAGTAAAATTTTCGGTGCTGCGGGATTCGAACCTATATCTCATGGCCCTGCATCAACTGTATCGTTTTCGACAACTATCTATACAGATAAATAAAATTGGAGTGTCTGTTTGTAATATTAAAATAACCGCTTTTTATTAAATGCATATGGATGTATACACTGTACATATACCAAAATAACATTTTTTTACAATTTTTGTCTGTCTGTCTGACTGTTTGTTCCTGCTAATCTCTGAAACGGCTGAACCGATTTGGATGGAACTTTCACTGGCAGATAGCTGATGTACTAAGGAGTAACTTAGGCTAGTATTTTAAATTATATGCAGATGAAGTCACGGGCACAGCTAGTCTACAATAAATTTTATCATAAATGCTTAGCACAAAAAAATAAAATGAATCATAAGGAAATAAAAGACTATTTAATAAATAAAAATTGAAAGAAAACTTAATTATTATGTTAAAATAAGCAATTTAATGATAGAATACTGGGAACAATGTTAAGAAATACATTTGATTGCATAGTACTAATTTTTAAGGCCATCAGAGAACCAGGTAGATGATGACCAACAAATTGACCAATTGGTTAAAGAATCAATAAGTAAAAACTTTTTGACCACTATGCTGCTCTTTTTTTTTTAGTTGTTTCTGGTTTGAGTTGAGTTGAGCAAAATATATCAGTGGAATGAAAACACATATCTTTTCATATTGGTGATATATATCACTGTTATATCAGTACTTCCCAAATGATATACTCTAGACCAGTGATTCTCAACCTTTTTTTTGTTGCGGCACATATTAAACGATTTCAAAATTTGGCAGCACACAAAGAAAAAGATAAAAATTATTTACTTACTACAACACACTGCATAAATAGTTTATGACAAAAATTTTAAATATACGAAATAAACTAATATATATTACAATAATAACTAAACGTTTATTAAGGGATTAATTACAAGCTAATAATAAAAATATTTTTAATGCGAAATTTGAGCTTGATGTTTTTTGATAGTTTCATTTATATTTGGTCATAAAAATGACAATGCTACTCTCATATCGTCTTCTACATTTAACAATCTTGATCTTTTTTTAGTTTTAATGTTGGCTAATGCCAAAAAATATTTTTCTTTTTAAATGATATAATTTAATAATATTAACATTATTATATATTTGCAAAATTTGGTGACACACTTTTGAAATTTGGCGGCACACAAAAGTGCCGCGGCACAGTGGTTGAGAATCACTGCTCTAGACCTCCCATATAATATTAAAGTTTTGACAACTTAATAGGCAGTGACGGATTTGCCCTAGGATCCAATAGGTCTAGGGGTGGCCAATCGTGATAAAAAATCCACTAATGATAACAAGATACATGACCCAAACCCATGGGCCCCAAACTCGTGGGTTCTGGCTAGCCCACCGGTTCTGCGTCAGATGAAGCTTTAATAGTCTCTGGACTGAAAGCACAAACATCAGTTAATACAAGATACAAGAAGATACATGATGGGCGTTGAGAAAGGTGGGGCTGGCTACATAGGCTGGGGCCTATGGGAGCCAAGACTACAAATATGCCACTGTGATAAGGAAACCAAAAAATCTATTATTCAATACAAGATTATCATAATTAAATAAATATGAAAAATTGAATTACGGTGGTAATTCTCTTGCCATATCTTGTAATTGTTCGAGTAAAAAGTACAATTTTCTCTGTAATGCTTCAGGTGTCGGTTCCTTAGTCTCCATATTTTCTATTTTATAAATCATGAGTTGTAAACAACATTGTCATCGTATACTTATTGGGTTTTATATATATTGATACATATATATCTAATTTTTTTACTTTTAGTACAGGTATCACATAAAATTCGAAAGTTTTAAAACCGGAGTTTACTGTTTATTTACTTTACCAAATACCATTAAAAATTTCAGCTAACAGATGTCACGACGTAGGCATGCGCAAAAATATCGATATTTTTTAATACAATTATGGACATATAATGTTGATATTTTTATCGTGATATATCTACATTCGAAATGCAATTTTACTATCATCTAATATTTACAAGATTAAATCTAACTAATCCACGCGGCATGTTACCAAGAATACTTTTAAGCGAGAAAAGAACCAGCTCTCTTGTCACCAGCCGTGGTGTTAAGCCTAGGACATAAACTTTTAAAAAATTTTGATGTGCGGGGACGCCACGGACCTAAAGTTTCAACAGAAAATGGCACAAATACATAATCTAAACATAAAGACTCATATTTGTGCCATTTACTTACTTGACTTACTTGAGCTGATTTCGATGCGGCACCGGCCCTGATCAGGGCCTGGCTGCATGCAGTATCCCTTAGATGAGAGGCAGCCAAAGTGTCTACACAAGTAGCGTCCCAAACAAGGGCTTTGCTTCTCTCCCAGGAAACAAGAGCCCAATTCAGGGAATTGTGACGAGAAAAGCGGACTGCACTTTTTTGACGCTACAGCAAGCAATAGGTAACCTTTCTGACGATGAAAAGTAATGTGCCCAAGTTACAAAAAAAATTGACAATTTCGATATATTTTTAACGAAACTCTTGTTTCGTGTTTATTGCATACTCCTCGCGCGTTATGAACTTTAAAAACTCATTTCAACAGTTTTCTACGTGTCTATTATATTTTACGAATTTTGAAAATATGTGAAAATAATCATACGAAAAATCACGATATATCGATACTTATTTTAAATGCCGATACGAATATATTGTTTGATATATTTTTTACTTGGTCATCCCTATCACGACGCGAATGGTGAATCGGGTTTTTTTTTTTTGGATTTTATGGCCCGGTATCAAGGACCTCTAGCTGAATTAATTTATTATCTAACAATAACGTTCCATAAGCAAAGCCATTTCGTTCAGGAAAACCAATCACAGCACGTTAATCTAGGGCAGTGATTCTCAACCACTGTGCCGCGGCACTTTTGTGTGCCGCCAAATATCAAAAGTGTGCCGCCAAATTTCAAAAGTGTGCCGCCAAATTTTGCAAATATATAATAATGTTAATATTATTAAATTATATCATTTAAAAAGAAAACTATTTTTTGGCATTAGCCAACATTAAAACTAAAAAAAGATCAAGATTGTTAAATGTAGAAGACGATATGAGAGTAGCATTGTCATTTTTACGACCAAATATAAATGAAATTATCAAAAAACATCAAGCTCAAATTTCGCATTAAAAATATTTTTATTATTAGCTTGTAATGAATCCCTTAATAAACGTTTAGTTATTATTGTAATATATATTAGTTTATTTCGTATATTTAAAATTTTTATCATAAACTATTTATGCAGTGTGTTGTAGTAAGTAAATAATTTTTATCTTTTTCTTTGTGTGCCGCCAAATTTTGAAATCGTTTAATATGTGCCGCAACAAAAAAAAGGTTGAGAATCACATGATCTAGGGACTTGTTATTCTAAGTCCGGATGGGTATCCGCCTTCCTTGTCCCATTATTTTTTTTTTATGGAAAAAGCAGGCAAACGGCCTATAAACTACCATGGCGAAAAATGCGTTGCCGGGCTTTTAGGCAAAAATATGCTCTCTTCTCGAAGGTTTCCAGGTCGGTACAGTAAAGAAACACCGACTGCGATAGGTGGTTCCACAGAGTGGTTGTGTGAAGCAGCAAATGTCTTATTTATAAAATTTATTTGCTGTCTCTTTCTTTGTTTCCTAACCTATACAAATTGAAATATACGAAAATAATTGAAATATTTAAAAAAATCGAAGATTTATTGCAATATGTTCAAGATATAAAATCCCTTGAATTATATCAACTTTGGAGTCGTACTTGATACATCTTTTAAAGATTTTTTGACACCGGGTCTTACTCGCCTCCCTGCCTAAAGTGAACTACACTCTACAAGTCTACACTTTAGTATCTACAACTCTTCAGAGCCGTCGTCTCAATTGGGACGTTTCTGTGACCTTACTTTGGGCGCATTAACAAAATATGTGTGGTATCATTGAGTAAATTTATAAAAATTAGATATTCTTTGGTTAGTTAAAATATGTAGAAAAAGTGCGAAAAGATTCCCACGGCGGCGACAATCTTTTCGCACTTTTTCTACATATTTTAATGTTCAATCTTAAGTGCAAAGATTGGCACTATAAACAATTTAAATTTCTTTGGTTAGTTTTCATATTTACCAATATAATTTTTTCATAGTAGTAATAAGATTTAGTTTAATTTTAATAAGCCTCGAGCTTCGAGAAAGGAAGACTATAAGTAAATTTTTTTGAATGATTTATTTCATTCCTCTCAGTTTTTAATTATACAACAGTGAGTATTTGACCCTGGTTGCCCCTGTCAGGCCACAGACTTATAAAGAGAATTTCCCATCCCTTTATACGCCTTTGTTTGGTATAAATTTTAAAATTGCGTGCGTAGGTAATAGTAGTTAGTACAAACGTTATGTGAAATACTATAAAAGCAATATAATTTATCTTATGCGTAAATAAGCACTTTATTGCGGACTTTCTTTTGTTTGATATTGATATATAGATAGATTTATAAAACATCAATGATATTGTAATTATTAAATATTTAAAATGTCTCGTCTGTTTCTCCGCCGAGCTCCTCCATTTCGGAGTCTCACGTTGAGTGTCGGTATGGAGACGCTAGTTGTGGAACTCGAGTCTGAGGCCCTTCCCCACGGCGCGGTGGTTGTGAGTACGCACGCATTCCCTGTTTAATGAATTGCTGTTCGAGGAATGATGTTGAGTGACCCATTCCAAGTCGCCTTTCAGCGCTTTATTTCAGGAAGCGTATGTCTACACTGCGTTTTCGCGGAACGTGTGACGGGCGTTAAGGGCGTACGTACTCGTGGCCACTTTACAGCTGAAAGGGGAAATACAATGCATGCAATGTACTCGTGGTCGCGGGCCTCAGTTGTGCGAGCGGTACGCATGAGGGCTTATGGTGACAACCGATATCAAAGCTGTGTGTATCGATCTAAAATGTTATGTATCGCCTAGCCGTGTTTACGTTATATCGGACACATGGTCAATGCCTAGCTGTCACTGTCATCTATTGTCTAAAATATGAAAATATTTATTCTTTTAGCTTTTAGTGGAAAAACAATTTTAAGTCTAGTGACTACAAAACACTTTTACTTACACTTTCTATAACATTGGTGGTAAAAATGAATTCCTACACAATAACGCTTCATTTCTTTGTAATAATTCTTTTATATCCATATAACTTAAGGGCTAGTACTATAAATGTGGAAGATGAGTTTTTCCAAGGAGTTTCTCATTTGTATGTTTTTTACATTATTTTCGTAATTGTATTTAAATTAAATAGTACTTATTTCAAATTCCTTATAAAATTTTCATCTCCTTTCCAGAATAATAAATGAAAAACATCAAAATATAACATTGTATCCAAAACAGTGTTTTGACATTTTAGAATTGTTTTCACAAAGTGCTTCAAATTTGACTTGGTGTTCTATTTTAAATGCTAGACCCGTAAGAATGTGTGAAAAATGTGTTGATCATTATGTAATTTTTTATAACAAATATGAAGAGCTACAAACAACAATTGTAAATGGTACATCATGCAAATCATTTTTCTTTTCACATGATAGATTGGATGTAATATTGCAATATCATGATAGCATTTCCGCAATATGGGATAAAGGAAATTGCAATAGTATGTATAATCATTATAATGTATATATTGAAATATTTTGGGTCTTTTAACAAACTCTTATATTTAATAGGTTGCTTTGATTGGTCCAGCGGTCTACCAATTTTAAGGAATGAAACAAAGCATTTCAACAAATTATTTAATGACACTGTAAACTGCTTTGTAAATAACTATAATCCTGAAAATAATAGTACTGTCTGTGAAAAATGTATGCAATTTTACCTACAATTGGATTCATTTTACTTATCTTTAAGCAAAGATTCTATTGGAGTCGACAGTGTTTGTATGGATATAGTGGATTCGGTAAGCTTTTCCTATTTATTTTAACAATAATCTCAATATATTATTTGTCAAAGATGTTTTTTGTCAAAATGCTATAACCTCCATAATTCTTTATGAAATGTTATGATTCAAACACCATATTAAAGCCATTGTTTGCTGCTGTTGACAGATATTAAAATAAAATGAATGTTTTCATGGACAAAAAAATATTTAAAAACTTATTTAAACTCAAATAGACTAATATGATAATGCAATCAATGGCAATTTGATTTAAATGGTAAAAAATCATTTGGAATAGATTGCAGACTAGCAACACAATATACTGTATGACTGTTACCAGAAACATTGTTTTTCCAACAGATGAATGCAACCAGAAGTATATGGAGCAAGACTTTAAACTGTTGCAAGATACGTATCTCACCTGAAGTTGTATTTTTGTGCAGTGCTGGGTTAATATCATTTTTACCTATAATATTTTATTTGTCAGTAAGATTTTGTGGACCAATTAGGGATTTGCCTAGAGTTTTAAAACGTAAGTAATTTTTGTGATAACTACAAGCATTATAGTGTGTGTGTGTGTGAACAAATTGGAAAACATTATTGATGTGAGCAATTGAATATTCAGTTTATTTATCTTAAATTTAGCAATAAATTATTACTTTGGAGCCACTGCTAAATATTGTTTCTAAGTTTCATATAATATGTATAACTTAATGGAAGGAAAAAGAAAAAAGGTTTATTTATGTAATAATATTTACTCTGTCTTCAGCAGAGTTAAAAACACCCCTGGTTACTCCCTGTTTTCAACACAAAACTACCTGCTTACTAAGTTTGTTTAACCATCTCGGTACAAAATTTTAAAAATATATTTTAAACATATATAAAAAAATACTTTTTTGGTATATACATACCACACAGGTTTTGAAATTGAGAAACATAAATGGCTTCACATCTCATAATCGTAAACGGAGTAGCCAGAACAAATAAAACCATTTTTGTTCAAGTTGAGACCTAAAATCACTGGTCATAGTTGAGACATAGATTTTTGAATATAATTATAAAAGAAATCTCATGATTTTGAGTTTTGGTGTAATCTTTATCTTAAGTATCCAAACTTCAGCATTACTATTACTATAATATAATATCTTTCTTTCATGACAACACATTAATTAAATAATTTAATTATCAATGCTTTAGAATAAAAATTTTATTTCTTCTTTTTACTTGGAATTTTGACAGTTTGATGAAGAAAATGTTTTGTTTTTTATTAACATAACTAAATCCCTTTACCTCAGTTACGCAATGAGCTAAGAATAAATTATTTTATTTTTCAGAATCAAGGATAAAACAAACAATATTGAGATCAGTGCAAACTAGAGATGATTAACAGATGGATTTCAAAATATTCAACCAAAGATTTTGTAAAAAAATATAACATAGATTAAAAAACATGAAATATATCTTTAATGTTTCATTCATATTTCATAACTATCACCCATAGGCAGTGTAAGTTCTGAAGATGCATTCCTTTTAGTACATTTTTATCAAGTTTATTTTATTTTCTGTTTTTATAGTACAAGTTATCTATGTCTTGCTTTTTTATTGTTATTTTTCTTCACATTACTACTGTTACTATTAGTCAGTTTATGTTTCATTGAATTTGGTGTTGAGTCCCCTTTGTTGATGCCTAAGCTAGAATCTTTATCCTTTGGTGTCCCAGGTCTACTGTCTAATCCCACAGCAGATAACATTTTGCTTTCACTGTTAAATGATTTTTGTAGCATTCCTGAAGCTGCTGCAATTTTTTGTGTTGCACTTTGCTTTGTATGACTCATTCCCTTTTCAATTGCTCCATTGGTGTGTTGCTTTCCTGATGGCTTAGATGATATGCTCTCTGTTGAGCCATGTATTGTTGTATGATTTAAATTTCCTATGTTTAAACCACTTAATTGTGTATCAGATGAGTCTTCATTTGTCTGGGATTCTGTTTCACTATTCCTTTCATCTATCACAAAAAACAGCAATGTTACAAATAATGCTAAAAAGTGTTACTGTGATTTTATGTTTACAATAAATATCTGTCTTACTTTTAGCTTCTGCTGGATCAACTAGTCCACTAACTGCCTGTAAAGATAGAATTTTTTATAAAACTTCTTTGATGTGCATTTTATCCAGGGCAATTAGCACCTATAAAGTATCTTAAAAGCTTAATGCTATATATCATTTAATAATTCGTGTAATACATGTACTAAATTGATTGGTATTGATTTAATTTAAAGTTTGTTTTCTTATTTTTAGGGCAATTAAATAAAAGCTTGTTTTTAAAGTTTTTTTACCATTAATTTATTAATTCATTGGCTTTAGCTGTCACAGACCAGCCTAAAGTACAATTTTTGCACTTTTAAATTACATTCCCTGTAAAAGGTTTGCACACATTCTCTCACGAGCAAGTATATGTAGTAGAGATACTCTATGTGCAATGAATATTCTGCTTTTATTCAGTTTAGCATATTTGTCCGAATACCAAATATATAGAGACTATTCTGCTTAATGCCAAATACTTAAGAATTTATCAACAAGCAGAATTCGGCGCTCGCTTATAGTTTTCGAAAAAATAAATAATGATATAGTGATTTTTTTTTTGATTTAAAAAAAATGGATTAGAAGCTATTCAAAACATCAAAAATTTATTTACTATTCACTTCTAAAATGTATCTGATCCCCAGATACTTTTAAATTCCAAAAACATTAAAATTATGGTGTGTACATTAAAATACGGACATAAGCATGTATATAAAAAAATCATAAGATAATCACTTACTGCCATTGATGTTATAGAGGACTTCGAAAATAAACGTTCAGCTTCTTTAAACTTTCTATTACGTTTATCAGCTTTTGAGTTTGTACTTTTGTTAGTTGTAAGATAACGGTCCCAACCACGAATTATATTACCATATAATTGTGTGTCTTCCAAGTACGATCCCTCGAATGCGTAAATTTGGCGTTCTAAGTTGGCCAATGTTTCCTTAAAGCAATTTAAGTTATTATGAAATTTTTTGCAGGATACATTTAAGCCAAGGATAATGAAAATTTACACCAATTACAAACTTACAGCAACTTCAGCTTTCCTTTTTACCAGTTCTGCTAGTTCAGCTCTTGTGTCAGCTACTGAACTTTGTTTAGACGCCATATTAGTTTTAGACCCTTGCACGCTTGGGGCTTCGCTAGCGGGGCTTTGCGGTGAAACAACCATGTCGCTGGCTATTGTGTATCTATTTATTATTCCATAACTTTACTTATTTGATAAAATTAAATAGCTTGCCCTGTAGGTACAAGCAGAGTTTACAAATCCTACAAAACCTTGCCGACTTTTTATCCTTAAGACTTTTATGAATGACATTTGACAACTGGTAACAGCAGTGCTGCCCAGCATCTTCCTATGTAAATATTTTTTTTTTAAATTTATTCATGACCTGGATACTAGTCCTTCAGTCGTATACATAGTCTATATCATTCGTAAATCAAGAATTACCGTATTGCAAGGATAAAATTACTATGTTTCTAGACAAAATTAGGGTGAATCTGCTAAAAGTGTACCGTGTAATTTTTCAAAGGAAAAAACAAATTTAGAACCAAATAGTCTTGATTAAATTTGCGTTTTTAATTATTAGCCAAGAAAATTAAAATAACATACGAAAAATTGAACTCAACTCACTCACTAAAAGAATTAAAAAAACAAAAAAAAATCGCAAAATGTATCTCTATTATTTTTAAATTACGATTATTCTAAGATAAAATCTTAAAATTGAAACAGTTCGTAGATTTTAATTTTTACTACGAATTTCTACTACAACCACTTGATGCTTCTTACTTTATACTATCCTTAACTTAGGTACAACATGGTTTGGAAGTGTTACAAATCATTAATATTGAACTACATATTGTGTTAATTTATAAATAGAATGCAAAGTATTTATGGCATCAACTAAAGTTACTTTAATTTAATATGTAAATAAAATTTAATTATTATAAACGATTTAATAAAATACACGATGTCAAAAAAAAAAAAACAAACGGATCAAAGCTCGGTCCTCCATGTACTTATCATTTAACCACAGTAACTCCTTTAATTTGTCGGTCAGCATTTTCATGTCAATCAAACAACTATTACTAAATCCTGTTGATCTAAGCCTGTCTTTTAAGACAAGTCTGCGGGTTTCTTTTTGACCCATTATTAACTTCGTTTTAAATAATTTTTGAGGTTTTTTTTTTTACAAAGTTATATGTTTTTTAATTTGTTATTTTCTGTTTCGATTCAGGGCTAAAGAAACTGATTTATCTTAGTAAGGCCCACATTTTAGTACATATGTCTTATCTATGGTACGACCGATATATCGATATTTTTTTTCGATAAATCGAGGTCGATATTGATATTTTTATAAATATCGATATTTATTCGACCTTCAGATCTCTACTCGGCAACCAGGAGTGCTGCCATTAAAAAAAAAAAACTTACATCAAGATGAAATAGCTTTAAAAAAACCAATTCAAAAGCCTACAAAAACCCTTTAAAATTTTGTTAAGATAAATAAATATAACTTAGTTTATTTGCTTTCAATTACAAATATTAGTATTAAATAACACAACAACATAATATTTACTAACATTGTACTATTTACATTCATTACTAAATCATTTTGCTTTATTTCCTTCAGTCAAAATATTCATGCATGAAATATTATTCATAGCCCTAAACTTTTCTGGACCCTAAAAAAACGCCCAATATGAATATTTCCCCTTAAAGGGCTAAAAGCCTTAAGCTGGCGAGTCTAGGTTTCAGGTATTAAAAGGGGTCCATTCACTACCCTATCTGGCAGTGCGTCGTGCAAGACTGCCAAGCAGGATGTATACAAGTGTATGTTCTTCTTAAGGGGCTCTAAGTCCTGAAGTCGAAGTCGCGTCGTTACTTTGAATCCGCTACCGCGGATCCCAATCTGCTTAGTCGTCAAACCTACAGACCCACGCCGCTAGGTACGTTCCGCGGCAATCACCGTAGACCGCGACACGTTCTCGATTTTTCTGACGATATGACTATCGGCATCGAAAGGATAAAAAAGTTACGTAAACACACAAAAACACACTGCACTCGCCGGCGAGTGCGGCAAACACATACTAGGTTACGCCACGTACTTGGCAGGTTCTCCCCAGTTAATGATAGAAGCGTTGCTGGAGTTTCTTCCGCCGCTGCTTCTCCCAGCACCAACGCTTTACGAAGTGGTAGTAACAACAGATCTAGAAATTCTCCCAGCCAGATAACAGCTACCGATCTGAGCCGAGGTGCGGCCCTCTCGAATCGGAATGCTAAACGCGTATTGAGTGACAGCCCAAGTCAAGGTCCCCTCTCGTGGACCCTTGAGCCTAGTCACTCTATGGAGCGTCCGCCAAAGTGCGTTAACGTGCTTGACGGCCTCTATAATCGGTGAAGCTAATAGCGTGACGGCTCGAGCCAAGGCTCCCTCGAGCTTAGTCACCAGAATGCGTAATAATACGCCGAGGTTCAGGCTAGGCGCCCCGAGCGCCCGGCCACCTTATGCCCGTCGGAACTGTAAAGGCCCCTATGCCAACAGTGGCTCATCTAGCCCAAAAAAAAAAAAAGGAGCCCATTCACTATCCTGCCTAGCAGTCCTCCGCTTTATGCAGGATTCTGAATGGTGTCGCAGCCTGCACGGTGTCGGACAACACAGACGCAGACGCCATGCATCCTGCAAGCTACCTCCAAGCTTCGCCCACCGCTTACAGTCCGTTGCGCTGGACTCATGAGTGTCAGTGGTTTTGTCGTGGGTTTGGCGAATTGCGTGGTGGCGCGTGGTGGCAGTGTTGTGATACATTGTTATCCCCATTTATGATACGCGTTGAGCACATTAGCGCGACTTTGTCACAAATGGGGTGGACACTGAAACCCAATTGAAATACCTGTAGACTGTAATATTGTGCAAATAGGATAAGTAATAATAATTGGTGTAAATAATTACTTAATGATATAATTTAAAAATAGATTTAATAATGGTTTTACAAAAGTTATTAATACTAATACTTAAGGCACAGGGGTGTCCAATCGGTCTGAAGTTAGGATGACTGAAAGTCACTGCGTTTTGCCGGTGGTTGATTATACTGAAGGAAGCACCGGTCATTTTACAATTGATGCAGGTGCAGTGCAATGTTGTCTGTGTATGTAACAAGTTTAATAGTATTGCCCCTATTTATCAGTTTTTTGTTACATTTACTAATTGTTTACAAACACATAATTGGCCCTATTACTGTTGACAAATATTAAAATAACTTAAAAATGTAATCATAAATTCAGTTACAAGTTCAAAGCTAATTTTATTATGTTTTTCCCATTATAGTAACATTTGGGGCATGCAAAATCTGGGTCCGCTGTTTTGTTAGCCTGAAATGAAAAAAAAAAAAACATAACAAAAACTGTATTGGTTCCTATTAACCTATAATAAATATATTAAAAGTAATCTAAACTGTAATATTTACATACCGTCAAGCAATAGTAACAAAATATATGTGAACACCCCATTACATGTGGAAGAATTGGACTATTGGAACAATAAGCACAAACAGTATTGAATGTCATTATGGGCAATCCAGTACTAACAGTTGTCCGCACATGTTTGTGCCACCAGACATATTTCAAAATATGGCTTAAAGATTTTTTTAAACCAAATAAATTGATTAATGAGAACATTGTTCCAATTAGTTCCTGTAATAATTACAAAAATTAAAATTTTATACTTAACATTTGCCAAGCACAATCAAATAATAATGTGTTGTGTCATTCTGATTAAAAATTGCAAAGAACTTACAATAAGGTTATGCCACAGAAGTTCACGAGTCCATGAAAGATCTGATAAATCTTCTCTTGCTATTTTTTCTGCTGTCAATTCAAGACCAAGAATAAAATCTATTAATATGGGATGTTTTCCTGTTTGAATAAACCTTAGAAAGTTAAAAATATCTCCAAATAATTGAACCACTTCTAGTTTGTTCAAAAAATTTTGTACTTTCATGTTTGATGTTAAGGTATACAAAGCTCTATCTTTTAGGTATCTTAGGCCAATAGTATAACCATAATACCAGTACAGTTTACTTTTTGATAAATTTGATGAGTTATATTTTAGAGATAGCATATGTTGACCAAATGTACAATTTTTATCAAACACTGAGTATTTAAAAATACAAGTTCTTAATAGAAGTTCAAGTTCTGGTAAAATTGGTTGTAATAGTCCTGGCTGAAAATAAATGTTAGATTTTCTTTAAAAACATTGTATTGATGAAGCACTCTATTAGATGTTTAATATGTAGGCAATACAAATTAATTACTTCATTAAATTACTTCTAAACTATGGAATAATGCTATTCACATAACTTTAATATTTTAAATAGTAAATATGTTTTTAGTACATGATGTTAGATATCATCAGATTGCATGGATATAGTAACTATACTTTTATATCTTAGTTTTTCAAATATTCTACTAATAAAGTACATTTCATTTTTAATATATTCGTAAATTTTTAATAATTATAAAAATTGTATGAGGTTTTATGAAATTTATATTTTTTGTAGATGGTTAGAGGTGTTATGTGTAGTGTGTTAAATGTTAATAAAAAGGGGCCTTGTTATTTGTATAAATTATTCGAAATTAAATTTTCATTCGGCTAATTCAAACACTAACCTCCAAGAATTTTGTTGCATTAAATAATAACTGCTTGAATAAGTCTTCAACTTGGTCATCCAATTGAACTGAGTCTAACTGAAAAATTAAAGGCATGCATAATTATAAAGTCGGTCTAAACGAATAAAAAGTATAATAAAAATATCTCTTACTTGAGTTACTCGAGGAATATGTGTTAAAGGCATGTTGATTAGCAGTTCTAACCAGGTTACAGTTGTAATACTTTCAAAGCCTGTTGTTTTGGCTTTAAAAATTATTACTCAAAAGAATTGGCCTATTTCGGCGTTTTTTCTTAAAACTAAGATTGAAACTTAAAACACAGTGTAAACCCATAAATTGTTTCTGACTCTGACATTGACATATGTAAGTAGGGATGAGGCGTATATACTGGAACAGGTATAAATACCCAGTATGAACATACCAGTACGCACACCGGGTATGTACGGCAGAGGCCCGTTCCATACCCGATAGGTATGGCCGCCTCGTCCGACGGTGGCGGTATATAACGCTCGCGACAACCCGCCGCCGAATAGAAACGAAGTTCCCCGAACGCTTACGGCGGCTCTTCCCGATCATGCCCGAATTGAAACGTATGATTTAGGCATTTTATACCAAATAATTCCTTGAGATAAATTTATTCTTTATTTCTATGACCATAAGTTAAATAAATAATTGCGTAATAAGGTTAAACAGTAATATTTATTTTGAATTACTTTTTTTTGATAATAGGGTTCTTTACGTTAGTAAAGATGGAGCTTATTTTAGACTGATTAAATCTCAATTAAAAAAAAACTGATTACTAAAAAAACATCTAAATGTTTCAATTCCAAACAAAGAAAGCTTCAATTCCATACCGGGTCTCCAAAAGGAGGCCTGAACATAACTAATACCTATAGGTATTTTGATACTGGGTTTTAGCACCGGGTATACGGCGATACAGTCTCATGCCTATATGTAAGTGTCTACTGTCTAATGTCTATTAGAACTTGTCTATGCTAAGTGAACATTGAACAGTTTACTGTGTCAACGGTCAGTCAAATGTCAATCTTATGTCTTATTATCTAATTTTATTGACCGTCCTTGGGGGCTCCCAAACGCCTTCATGTTCCCTTGAAAAAATCCTAAAGAAGCAAGGATCTAAGAGGATGGACTTTGGAGGTGCCCAAAATATTTCTTTCAGATAAAAAACGTATAAATAAAATTATATAATTGGGGCGTAGACACAGCGTAACTGTGTCAGTCGTATTAATGATACGAGGCCTCTGTGGGCCCCGAGCCCAAGGCCTCTGTAGGCCCCGAACGGATGAAAGCAAAACTTCCTCAATAACTTAAATTCTTAAGTCATACGTCCCGGGAAAAATAAATTATAACTTATACAATATCATCTATGACTAATTTTCCTACATGAACAATGAAATCGTACATGAGTTTTGACCATTTTTTCCCAGTAACAGCCAGATGTAATGTTAAAATTACTTTAACATCATCACATCATGTAATCTACCTTTAACAGGCCGTTATTCCGTACCTGGACGGAGCCCCCGAGCCCAAGGCCTTGGTAGCTCCCGAACGGATGAAAGCGAAAATTCCACAATAACTTAAATTTTTAAGTCATACGTCCCGAGAAAAATAAATGATAACTTATACAATATCATCTATGGACTCATTCTCCTACATGAACAATAAAGTCATATATGAATTTTGGCCATGTTTGTCTAGTAATGGCCAGATGTAATATTAAAATTACTTTTGCATCATCACATGTAATCTACCTGTAACAGGCCATTATTCTGTATCTGGACGATTCAAAATGAAATTGTTAATTCGGTTTGTTCGATTAGCGCTGTTAGAGAAAAATATTGTTATAAAATAAATATAGCTCAATTTCAGGCCATTATTTCGGATACAGTAGAGGACATGTCGAAAATGTATTAAATTAGAAATATCATGATGGATAATTGGGAAAAAATGTAGATACACTTTTTTTAGTAATAACATTAAAACGTTGGTCAATATTGAATATCGATTCATCTGAATAATATAAAATTAGGTGACCTTAGTCTCTCTGTATTCTGTCTATTTTATTTAAATCCAATTTAAATTTCACTTACAAGATTTTAACTAAATAAACATAAACACTTATACAGCTTGTTTAATTAGATCATTTCCTTAAACTAGGAGCCTCATTCAGCTTTACCGCCCCGGGCCTCTGAAGGCCTTAGTCCGCCACTGATGACATCTTCCGTTTTTGGCCGTATTTTAGTTGTTGTAATTCCATTTATTGACGAAATATATAACTTCCGACCACCATGTCCACCGCATATTCGTGCAATAGCAAATTGTTGGGTGGCCCTAACACAGTATCCTTGCCATTGAAATCGGTAAGAGAATGGTGCCGTCTCCTATTGAAAGGAGGGCCGCCCACTAAAGATATCATCTGCTAAAGACTTAAAAAAACTTATTTTACGAACTGTGTGGTTAAGGAATGTCCATAAGCGATGATGTGAAAATTACTTCATTACATACTAGAATTACTTTATTAACTATAATGACAACATAAATGTGTTCTTTAAATTACAAGTGGACAAGAAAATTATTGCAAATTCGTTTCATTAAATTGTATACAAACCGTGATAGCTTAGTATCCGGGCACTTTTAATTCAATATACTCGAACAACCTCTGTTCAAATTCTGGAGCCGACACTAATGAAATTGTAATTGCTATTTTAGTGAATGAAATTGTAAGTGCTGATTTATCACGAGGTCATCGGTGAAGGAAAGAAACATTATTTTGCAAGGGAGGTCCGATGTTACTCGGTAAGCCGATCGTGGCGGGGGGCCGGTTATAAGACTCTGCCATCTGAATATGTCGTCTTCAAGTCGTCATGTATGGGTATCTTGATGAAATGGAATATTAAATGATTTTGGAAGTCTGCCAATACGCGTGGTTGACTATACCCTAATACTCTCGGAGCAGAGGGTACACTCTCAACATTCAATATGATAGAGCGTTTTTTTTATGCAGGAAGGTGGCAAGTGAGGAGAGCAAGGGACGCAGTTGTCACTTATCATAAGTTGAACCGCCGGGTTCAACTTATGATAAATGACAACTGCCTCCCATGGACATTTGCAAGACACGTAAGTTTGTAGATGCGCTGCCGCCTTTTAATAAAGTAGGCCCCGGCTACCTCATTCACCAGATGAAACTGAGAAGAAGTGACACTTCCACTTCACGCCGGTCTTCTGCGAGGTCGTGGTACAAATTGGGACGGACCTCCCCATTCGTGCATCAGCCGAAGCTGTAGCGTGGCCCTAACAATGCCGAGCGTACAAAGGCCTTTGTGCAGCAGTGGCACATACATTGATTGTATTTGTGCAGCAGTGGCACATACATAGATTGTTCCATACACATGTATGCACCGATGTTAAAATATACAGATATAAAAGAAAACGACTGGTAAAAAATAGACCACATAAAAGTTTTCACATATTTATTGTATTTCAGTATTACTATATATACATAACCTAAATACATTAAAGGTAAGGTACAATTATTAAATTTCTATATTGTACAGGATAATATAATACTAATGTTGATTATCTTTGCTATTTTGGACGTTAGCATGAAAACCGGTCTCCCAATCTGCTACGTAGTTCACTGTCCGCACCGATCCGTCCGGTTCCACCAATGAATACTGACCTGGATAATATATCAATATCTTTAGATCTAGACTGTTACTGTAGTGCACGTAATTGAGATATTACGTATCCAATGATATCCGCATATACAACAGAATATCTAAAGCACTGTTGAAAGTACTGATGAGAGCTTACTAGCACTGAGTGGATGATTATTTGAAATAGTAAGTAATGAAATTTACATTAAAGTTAATTTTTTTTTCATGTGCATAAGTATAGTGTGAATCACTTGAAATTTGACATTTGAAATTTAGACAGTAGGCGCTTTACAAACAGTAGTGTGTATGCATACTCTTAACAGAGTATTTTTAACCTTATGTAAATAGGAAAAGTGGTATTTGGATTAAAATAAATAGACATATTAAAGATATTTAAAAAAAAATCAGTTCATATGAAAATCCATAGTAGATGGAGTAAAATGATTAAAAGTTAATATTTAATCTTTGAATTAAATGAAGTTGCTGTTGTGTTAGAATGTCTAAATATCAATCTTTTATTATACGTGTAAACCTTTATACTATATATACTTATTGATTGAAATGTTACATTTCTTTCTGTGGTATAATTTCCTTTTATATTTAACATAAAAAACTTTTGGCCAAAAACAGACAAATAATATAATAAATAATTTTTGTTTTTACTTTAGAAAATGTTCGTTTGAAATCCATATTTTTTGGTCTTTCCCAGTTCAACATCGATTTATTGGAAAGGTTTATCACTGTACAGTGTATATAGTGCTAGGAACTTAAGTGAGTATGCATATATGCATTCTGTAAAGTGTAGCCTAGTGAAGTCTACCAATAGCGATCTGACCAGTCCGGCGTAAGACGTGTTTCAGGTTTAATTATCTACATAATCTCTAGAAAGATCACTGATACCGAAAGAAAATTCGGTGTACTTGTCTCGGTTAATATATTTTTTCTTTTTCTGTGCAGACAGCAATGAACAGCACCTTGTGTAATACTAAGAGCAGTCTAAGGTCATCTTGTTCCCTTCTGTAAGCAATACTTAAAACGCTGGCTTAAAATTAATATCAAATTATTTCGTACCTCTGACTACATCTCCGTCTCTTTCCTCCTTTTGTTGTTTAACATCACCAGTATGAGGATCATTTACTCCATATTCAAAAGCGTATCTGGGATGAGCATCCTGTAAAGTAAATATAATTTTCAAAATATTTTTATTTTTCGAAAAATATAACTTAGTCTTAAAATATTATATTTTCTGCGAATTGGATTTCAAATTTAAGGATTATTAAAAAATCTGATATAATGAATCTGATATAAAGAATTATAAAGACCAAAAGTGTAAAGAAGTCTCATAAATTCTGAAATAGATTATATACACCTTTCTATTGATTTATGGAGTATGCTGAATACCTAACGTAATGCTATCAATCAACTTGTTTATGTTCCTTTGAAAACACTCATAACCCTTATGTAATTACTAGTAAAAGGAATAAGTAGATATAGATCTATCTATCTGAACATTTCGTATGTTTATACACCTTATGAAATAAATGGAATGGTTTCTGGGAATATTGGGTATTCGATTATATCGCCGTTTATTATATGCACTTACAATGAGATAATTATACAAAGTTAACTGAAAAGTTATCGTTTCTGGCTTATTAGCAAGTTATCGCGGCCCAGTTTAGTGGTGAAACACCGTCTAAATATTTGTCCTATGGAGCAATCCTTATTACGAATGAACATTATCGTGCAACAAAGTTAGGTTTCCGCTTTAGAGAGAAACAAAATATATTGTTTTAAAGCCATTATGCCATTATTTTTTTAGGCGCTTGATGTTATTACCGCCGCCTGTGTAAACCTACAGCAACAGAGATATTGAGATTCATCTAACTCGCCAGAAGAAATTTATATGTCTTATGTGCGGCTTGGTGTTATTCGGGTGACCTTTTGTGTAACAGTTGAAGCTTTTGAGAAGCACTATTGCAAGTCTATTCTTATTGTTAAACTCCTCATTGACAAACCCTTAAATATAATCGGACCTTGCGTAATAACGCAAGGTGCGATAAGGTTGGTAACTCCGTGGAGCTTTTGCCAAGGTATTGGCTTCGGCGTCGGGGGTCGGGGGTTCGATTCCCACACGGGACAACTATTTGTGCGATCTACAGATAGTTGTTTCGCATCTACACACACAGGATAATGTTATTCTAAAGTAAGGGCAACGTTTTTTAAATAAATACAATACAATACAAATACAATACAAACTACGTTACCAGAGAAGTACTATGGTACTAGAAGTACTACGTTCTTTGGTAATCACATTGTCTTGGTCTCGGAGGCAAGGGCGAACCAATGTATTTGTTGCTACACTCTGTGTGGGTAGTGTTATCCGGCGGGACCACCGACGGTGGGTCCGGTGGGTACGTAAGCCCCCTTCCTCGACTGGGTTTCGAATCATATTTTGCCTACCTTAAATAACTTAATTTTTAATTTTATTCTCAATTTTTTTTCTGGCAAATGTCTATTGTTTAATTTTATAACGAGAAGCAATGCTGAAAACTTTTGAAAATTTTGCAAAATATTTTTGTCTATATGCATACTTTACTTGAATTCCCTTTTTAATAAATTGAGCATTAATTAATAAGTATTTTCATAAATCAAATCTATATTTAATTAATACGTGAAGCAAAAACTTTGTACCCATTTTAACGAAATTTGATAGAGAGGGAGTACAAAATGATATTTTTTTTTAATTTGTGCATAAAAAATACATTAAATCAACATATATAGAAAACACTATACACACTACCATGTATTTGACACATCACGCATAATATATACTCTTTTGTTTATTATGTATTGTATTTAAGAATAGATTAATCTTGTTCCAACTTAAAATTTAAATTAATTATGGCCGACTTTTGACCACTACGTCGTGGTCAATTATACATGGATTTAAATTTACCTTAATTGTGCGGAACTAAGTTTATTTTTTATTGCCATCCACTCGCATATCTCACGGTAATGAATTGACACGACCAATTGATCTATTCGCCTACACTAAACAAGTCTGTGGGTAGAATTCTCAGTGATTTCATAGGTTAGTAGTAGATATAGTACAAATGCATTGTAAGCCTTTTAATTATTTAGCTATTTTAATATATATTATCATTGCAGCCAAATATTAGCGTATTTATTATGCGCTGAAAATTTGTTTAAATTTTATAGTGAAAAATAAGGAGAAGTAATGAAAGAAGTAAAATCAAGAAGTAATAAAAAGCGTTCCATTATAACAGAATGGACTTGCTGCGGTTTTGATCAAATAACGAATGTTTTAAATGTCATTCTGTATGTTGTATGTATGTTGTATGTTGTATGTTCATTCTTCATTTATATCAAAGCTAAAACTATCAATTATAAGCGAAAGTATTAGTTTACTATTTTTCCAAAATCGTACAATAAAATGTTTGTTATTTTGTACAAATCGGTACTGTCAGTCGAATAAACTGACTAGATTAGACTAAACGCATTCCCATCGAGATTTAGAAGTGACGGAATCCATCGGTACCGTACCACCAATGATCAATGAGTTTAGATTACGTTTAAAATCACGGAACTATGAGGTAATACGTATGTGTAGCAATATCCCTATGTTGTCATTATCTCGCGTGTTTTATTTAATTACGACAGTCTGCAACATCCGCAGTATTCAGATGATTTATTTTAATCTATTTCTTACTCTTGTTAATTCCTTGTAGAGCATAACAAAAGTTTTAGAATTAATTTAAAATATAATTAAAAAAATTTCTAGAACAACAAACGGTTTGATAAGAAATCAAATTTTAATATTACTGTAGTTTTAATAATTACTCACGTAATTTTCCAAGAAGTCCGTGTGCACATTTTTAACTCCGTTGGATCGATGTCCCTGGGCTACTGATGAAGAAGATTGTTGTACTGCCGGGGTAAAGTATTGCGACGCTGCCAGGGTTGAATGTTGGATTGCACCAGCATGGGCTGAATACTGGACTAATGAGGGGATTGTGACAGAAGGGGCGTTATACTCCGTTATTCCTGCAGCCGGTGTTGAGTACTGAGCTACTGCTGGCGCGGAGTGCTGAAGCGCGATAGCAGGAGCTGAATACTGTGCTTGGCCAACAGCTGGTAGACTTAATTGAGCATTGTATTGATTACCCGCCTGGGCGTGGTACTGTGCAACTGTTGGGGCGTTGTATTGATATCCCAAGGTAGCAGTTGTTGTTTGTTGGATTACTGCCGGTGTTCTGTGTGCCACTTGAACTGCAGGTGCAGCTTGTTGGTACTGGCCTATCAAAGGAGATGTGTTGGCGTAGCCTGATGCCGAAAACTGGTTAGCCAGCTCAATTCTAAGTGCCGGTGACGTTGCATACCCTACCGATGGCGCTGCATATACTTGAGAAACGACTGGCCCAGATTGGACGCTGTATGAATTGAGGGACGCTTTCGCGGAGCTTGCCGTAATTGACTGCGCGGTATTTAAATTGTTGGTTATGTATGAGGTTTTATCAGGTAAAAAAGAAAATTTAGCAATCAAAGGTGCAGCGGTGACTTTGGATATGATTGGAGCTTGTGCATATGTTGCCGAAGGTGTTATCCTCCTTTCGGTTGAGGCTGCTGATGATAAGCCAGCGGATGTCACGTACCCGTGGAAATCATTCTGATTGGCGGTCTGTGCTGCGTAGTTCGTTTGGGAAACTAAAGGAGGTTGGTATGCAACATTTTGTATTGCTTGCTGTTGGTAGGCTCCGGAATACTGGCTTGAGGAGACGTCAGTCGTTAGCCGTGCGGCAGGTACGGGATACGAGTATCCAGAATCACCGCATCCTTCAATTTTCTGCACTTGACTAAGGTGGTAGTTGTAATCAGGGTCGTGATAAGCAAATGCATTTACGAAAATCGTAACGGATATAACGAAAATCTGAAACAAAAATGGTTATAAATATGCTAGAAAGTTTTCTGTTTTCAGCAATCCTTTATTATAGTACAAAAAAATGGAATTTATCCTTCATAATTCATTAAAACATGTAGAAAAAGTACGAAAAGATTGTCGCCGTTGTGGGAATCGAACCCACGTCTTCGTACAATCTTTTCGTACTTTTTCTACATGTTTTAATGTTCAATCTTAAGTGCAGAAATTAGCACTATAAAAAACTTTAAAACTTCATAATTCAACATTAAAATATGTAGAAAAAGTGCGAAATGATTAAGTGCAAAGATTAGCACTATAAACAATTTAAATTTCATAATTCAATTTAATTTGTCAATGTCTTCTATTCAAATTGCTTACCGATTGCATGTTGATGCTGTTCTGGATTTAATCTTAACTTTAAGTTAGGTGCACTTTAACGCTCAGCTCATTTGATACGCTCAGTAATGTTTACACTCGAGAACTTGAATTGTATTTGGCAAACGGCGTCATTCGAAATGAGAGCAAAATGTGTCCGCAAACTCTTATATAGTGATCTCATATGTGTAAGAACGGGTCACACTTTTTCACATTCGCCGTCAGAGTACTTGGTGGGCGCGGCCTTAGTGTACTGTATGACTCGTTGCTTGCTTCCATTAAATATTAAATTATTGAGTACAATTTCCTTCTTACGCAGAAAGCTCGCAATGTGCATTGCATAAAACGCAACAATAACAACGTATCTTGTGCTTTTCGTACCCGATTTTAAATTTTAACTGTATTGATAAGTAACATTAAAGAGACGAGGGCGTGTTTGTATATTATGTATATAGTAGAATTGTTAGTAAATAAGTAAAAAAGTAGTAATTTTTTCATGTATGGCATATTGTGTCTGGACGTGCGATCATGAATTTATTGCATTTTCGCTTTTGGTTTGTTTTTTGCAAGCGACAAAGTATAATCTTCTAAATATTAAATGAACTGAAAGTAGAGACTTATTTAAAAATTGTCACAGTGGCAATATTTTGCCAAATATTTGTTCGAATTGAGTTTTATAGCAACAATGTTGTTTTTCATAAATAAAATAACGGAAACCGTATAATAGAATAAATAAAAGCTGCACGTCCTATAAGCTTCCTATTATAAAAGCTTTTTACCTATATCTGTGCACAGGTTGTCTTATGCAACTATGTTGAAAGACTATTATGTTTAAAACAGGTAGGCGATAATACTCTTTACATCGCTTGAAGTGAGGATTAAGTACCCGAAGAAGCAGTTAAGGACCAGTTAAGTCGACACTTGTAAATTGTATGATATAAGCATAATCTCCAACGTATTTAACTGTAATACAGTTTGTTTATATGGACGCAATTGAATCTTTAAATTCAGTGTTGCAATGGAATCATCTTCCGGTTCAGTTGTCACCCACTTTCAAATATCTGAATAATCTAAAATGTTGCATAATTTCGTATTTTTACTGCTATCGGTAGTAAATAATAAACAGGTAAGAAGTAAGCATCGCCCCGGGTGAATTTAATTATTTTAACAGGCAAATTGATGCAGTTACTGTATCATATAATATAATTTTATGTCACGCAGTACCAAACAAAAAAAATCAAATCAATTGTATTTTCCGGCTACATTGAGTATTGAAGAAAAGCATGCCGTGGAAGCTTCCAAGGTGCTGGATTTTTTCGGCCTAATTACTGATATGTAGTTACAATGGTCACTTGTACGAATATGCATAAGTAATATATAGTCTATGTTAATGTATTAAAATGAAAATAATATTTCTGGCAACAATTTATATTTAGAACCAAAACCAACAATTTCGTGCGTAAATACATAACATTTTAATTAATTTATTTTTTAAATTTTAGTCAGGCTATCCAGTATTTAGTTTTCTTGTTTGAAGAAAAAAATGTTATTTATTATTACCAAAATGTTATTTATTGTTACCAAGGAAGTAAAAAAAGCTTTGGAATCTCTTGTTTTTATTAAAAACCGCAGCTTTTGTACTTATAGCCAGCAAAAAAACGTTAAAACGACACCGGTTGATTTACACATACGTTCCCTTTGTACACATAGTATACTTGTATTCTTTATGATTTCATGATTTTGTAATAAAACTTAAAAAGCGGAAATAACTTTAGTCGATAGTTAAAAAGGCACTAAGAATCAATAAAATTTTGCTAGTTTAGTAATTTAGTGATATATTGTGTAAGACTATTAGTATAATGTCCTTCTCATTATATTTTAATATGGATTATTCATAACCATGCAGTTGCAGTTTACAAATTCGGATATTACGCAAAGTAATCTTCAGCTGTTGTCTAACTGGGTTGTCAAATCTATCGAATGTTTCGTATTGAATTAAAAGAGAGGTAAAATCCACTAATTAATACTTATAGGATCTATATCTTTTATTTATATGCCACGTTGAATAATTTGAAATTTTGGTATATCAGTAGGATAGTGATTATTTATTTTAAAGTACTAAATACACAATGAACAATAATTGTTGCTCTTTTTTGGTACAATCGAGTGATGATGAATCTGAATCTTAGTGAATGCTAAGCTGTAAATTCAGTGCATAGTCAGATTTGGCATCTCGTTCCTGTATTCTGGACCGTAATTGAAGCCTTTTTAATGTGGAAGGGTGGCAAAAGATCCGACGATTTGTCTTAGTCAGGGATGGAGAAATTAGATTTGGAGATGGGCCATATAAAATAATTACATTTCCGCGGGACGGGGAGCATTAAAATTGTTCTATTCAATTAGAGAAAAAAAAATAAATCATAAATTTAGCCATACAGTACCTATACGTATAATAAATTAATTGTTCTGATATGCTGCGTCGGTGTGAAAGATGAAATTTTGACTTTTCTTTAATTAAAGCTTCGAAATTAGGCTCCAAGTTATTTGAAGTAGCTCGTAAAATACAATCGAGATGATGTTCCTCAATTTGTATTATAGTAGGCTAATCGGCTTTTTATTCGGCCTAAAATTTAGATGACGGGTTGTAATCCCGGGCCGAAATAAATCTTGTACTGTGTGGCTTGGACCGCGGGCCGCCATTTCCTCATCCCTGGCCTCACCTTAAGTGATTACCACCGCACATTATACACAAAAACTGTGCAGTTGTACCCATTGGGACGGTGACCTACTTGACTCACCAGATCAAATGCAAAGGTTTACTTGCATTTTACGTCAGTGTCCTGTTAGGGCGTAGTACTTTTCAGACGATCCAATCTACGCAGGCAACAGTAGGAACTACTGAGAGCCCCTGCCGTGGTGCTTAATAAAATCTATTTCATTATTGTTTTGAAAGAATGAGGAAACTTCCTTAAGATTCAGTTAAAACACATAAAAGGTGTTACTCAAATAAAAGTGACAGACCAAATAAATAAACCGTAGTTATATTTATTGTAATATATAAATGAATTAACTTGGGTTATTTATAGATGTGAGAACGAACACGCCTACCCGTCATATCTTAAACTGATTAATTATCTGTGTAAGCGTAATTCTTGTGCAAAATATTTTTTCCCACGATATTTTAGATATCTCTCGGTAGTAAACTTTTTAATTATATGAGAATAAACGAGACTACATTATGAATACGGTTCTTACCTATATCATAGAAGTGTGGTGAATATAATCGTCTGCTTGAGATATGAAATAATACTTAAATTAATGGCGTATACAATTTTCCATCTATCAGGCCTCCAGTGTAGGAGAAATTATTTTAACATGTTACGTAAGCAGTCCTGCGATATATCCTTATTGTGCAACATTTGCCAGACAGATCTAGGCTTCAGCCCACTCTTCACTTATTACTTTGCCAGTTATATCCATTATTTTATTGGAATATGTGGACGAATCTTAGTGATTCCTAGTTTTAAGAAGTTTTTGCTTATTTTACAAGCCTTCCGCTTTTTCTAGTAATTAGAACAAATTCTTGTATTGACAAAAAAACAAGATTTTTAAAAAGTAAGGTTAAAAGACGAGTTTTTGGTCATGGCAATTATATAGGTAGCTAATACAAATTCAAAACAAAATGTTTGCGACAGAATGCGTTAGAGAATATCTCAATGATTTCAAAATACAGCAACAGAAAAATTCTCGATTGGTCACGGCTACGCCTATGTACTTTGAGCTATCCGGATAATATCAAGTCATAAATAGCTCGTGCCCTGACATTTAAGGCAACACCCTATTTCGATTTAGAAGTGATATCACGGGCTTTTATTAGTGTTTCGTGAAGTAGCTGTTACACATGTGCAGCAATTCAGTACACCTGAACATTAATATATATAGTACTGAACTGCCTTCTGGCTGATATGGACTTTACTTGACACTTTACATAAGAAAGCGAGCTACTAAGCTCTTAACAGCTTACATGTAAATTGTGCAAGACTGTATGTGGCATATAGATTTAGGTCAATTGAAATAGATTAAATTGAGCGCAAAGCGGGGCATTTACCTTTACAAAATACTTTAATGTATCAAGCCAGCAAAAAGCTCTTGCTTGAAACGTAAATAATTGCATTAAAATCTTAATATAAATAAATAAATAGGTAAACCATAATAGATTTGTGATAGATACCTCTAGAGTGCAACTCTGTACGTCGTATCAAACAACATCTTTAAAGTAATGTAAAATATTTCCTGTACACAGGTATAATACCTTAACTTAATCGGACACGGCATTAAACGATGTCAAAGGTCAGCCTTAAGAAGTGTAGACTGGGGCGCGACAATTGTGTAGTTTGGCACATTTCATATATCCTGTAAATATTTTTTTATTTCTTAGAATAACAGGGTACGACGTATTCTTTCACTGCCGAGAACGTGTTAAATTAGCACTGAATTTGATAGGTTCAGACAGTGATTTAGAATATACATATACAGCGTGTCGTTACCATCGCGACAATAAATGAACACACGTCTAACGCTACTTGCCAATAATCATAAAAAATATTAACGTTAAACAAAATCCATAAATAAAAAAAAATATTTTTCAAACAAAGTAATTAAGTAAAAAAGAAACAAAATTTGCAACATCCTATACAACTCGCGTCACAGCGTCGTATTACAAGCCTCTCCTTCTAACAGTATGTTTCGTCTCTTTTAAATTCATTCAACCCATTCATATGCTTTGTCACCTTTACAAATGAACTTTAAGTTACGGTTTTATAGGTAAGGGTGTTCTAAAATTCTTTGTTTTGGAAAATTTTATAACTCTGTAAATATTGATGTTTAAAGAATTTAAATGTTTAATACAACTTTAAAAAGTTATCCCCTATATGCGTGTTCATTTATTGTCGCGATGGTAACGACACGCTGTATATAAATTAATTACAATAGAATCGGTAGGTATATCGCCT